ACTTGCATTAAGAAGTGGAACATTTGTGTCAGTTTTATGTGGATCCCTTACACAAACTTTTCTTTAGTTACCACAGCAAAAAAAAAAAGGAAATAATAATAATTGTGTTTTTATCATAAATTACCAGTCATTGATATATGTGGCTTGAAACAGTGCAGTGATATTATTGATTGACTGTTAAAGGAAAGAACTTTTTGTTTGGATGAACAGAAATGTTCCTCATGCAGCAATAAAGTTACCTTCAGCATGTGGCTTTTAATTTAGCAGTGCTCCATTACGTAAGCTTGAACAATCCTCTGTTCAGAAAACTAAGTGCCTGTAGTGAGGTCTGTTTTTCCATGATGTGGTGCTAGTCCTACCTCCGTGGCACTTCCACCTCATGTTTATGTCCCTAACACATGGGCTGGATTTTAAAGTTTCTTTTTTTAGTACAGGTTGTGATAATTGGTAGGTTAATACTTCCTCACCTATTTACTGTATGTTATTGGAACTGCAAATTTCAATGCTTGTTTACTTAGGGATATTCTCCAGTGCATGCAGCTTAATGATACATTGGTCAAAGTAAACCTTTCTGAAAGCAGTTATATTGTTAGAACTGTGTACCTACTGTGGTAAGTCACGCTACAGTTTAAACTGCTGTGCTAAGCTATGGATTTTTGGGCATTGTTGGCTAAAGCTGCTCTTTGTGTTACTTCAGCCATGTAAATAATGCTCTCTAACTAATCCTGCGCGTCTGCATTGTTCTTTTGGCTGTTTAAGTTTACCTGCAGAATCTGCACGAGTGTGTGTATGTATATATATATATATATATATATATATATAATACTTAATTGCCAAATGTACAGCAGAGAAATCATCTGGTTAAAGTCGGAACAAAATAGCCCTCCTATTATTATTATTATTATTATTATTATTATTATTAGGGCAGTCTCTTGCAGGATCTCAGAACATATCAGACAACAAGGGTGCCCACCCCTCATCTGAAGGGTCCTTTTTACTGTACTGTTTACTCTGCCCTCCCTCTCCTGCGCTGTGCGCTTCTCCGTTTAACTGAGAATATGCTGTATTTTGCCGGGTAATAAAATGAAAACCAATTTTTTTTGTTTTTGTTTTTTTAAGGATTATTTTGCTCAGAACAGTGACATCTGGTACTTGATCGTGACTCCAGCAGTATTTGCTTCTCTTAGGGTTCCAAGGCAGCTTCTGAAGAGGTGTACAAGTCTGTATGTCTTCAACATCAGGAACATACTAAGATCTAGGCCAAGAAGCATGAATGCATGCATGCTTCTATTTTGGAGTTATTTAACATACCGTTGTCTGACTGACATGGTGACTATGTCTTTGTGCTGTTCAGATATTAGCGAAGTTTACACTACATATCAACACAACCTTTTTAGAAGTGTAGGAGATGCTTCAAATCCCACACTACACAAGGATTTAATCAGTATTCTCTGGAGTTGCTGTGAATTCCACAGGTCTGTGTGTGCTGCGTCTTTGAATATTTTACACTTATGCCTGATTTATTGTGCCACTGCTAGACTCTTTGAGTATTTGGCACTCAGTACAAAGCAGGTTAGGCAATACTAATGTGTGCTGTTGCTGTTCTGCGCTGTCACATCTAGTTTAGTCTCTGTATCCAAAACATTATTAAATGCGTTATTAATAATTCTGTTTGTGGATGTGAATTGGTCATAGAAGGCACAATTGTGTTTGTTTGTTGCAAACCTTTATGCTGCATTTAAGAAATACATGGAAGGAAATGCCTGAAGGTATGTTGGATAGAGATCTACACAGTATTAGTATGAGTGTTCTAAAAAAGGTTAGATGCTGACGTATTACCTTGTAAATGTTATGTCAAATTAAAAAAAAAATTATACATAAGGCTACAGGCATATTAGTTGAAATCCATCAAAGGACACTGAAGCTAGACCTGAATTTTCCTTTAGGAAGACAATGATACTATGTTGTTTTGCTGCTAGTAAGATTCAGTTATTTACCCCTGATACAGATAAATATCCATAAACATTCACCAAAATCTGTTGTATTTCTGATGTAGGTGTTTTACTTCGACCAAATTAAACATGGAAAGCACATTGCCACTCCACTACTTTCTTGTTCTTTATGCCCCCTGCTGGTGCCTCCTTCTTGTCAGACACGACCCCAAATTGTAGGGATTTCTGCCCTCAACAGTAGGTCCAACTGCCACTGCCGGATGGCAGCAGATTTCTGAGTCACCGAAGGGCCACAGGCAGGTGGGGCGTTGATGCTGACAGATGGCTTAGGTAAAGTGATACTGAGTGATGCTCCGAGCCTCCCTCCTACAGCTCAGCCTTTACAGACTACACTTGGATAATTTATACACATAATTATACACCCATTGTAATAATACCTTTGTGCTGAGAGATATTCATTCACCTTTGTTTTACTTTTTCTTTTTTATCTTCCCATAAGACCCGGTGAAAGGCCTGTGTTCAGAAAAGTCGGAAAAGCACCATTTAAATCTGTGTTTTTGTGAAATAAAAATTCCTCCAAATTTCAGATGTTGACAGCAGTGAAGTCAGCAGTAGACATGAATCCTGAGACCGTGCACAGCTGATCAATAAACATGTCCTGATAGCATTCCAGAACTATTTCCTTACATTTTTCCCCACTGCTGTAAAACGATGCAGGGGAAGAGGATATTTAACCACAAGGTCATCTAAATCCACACATGTACTGTAAAAATACCGTTTCACATGTAAATTGAGAGACAAGCATCTGTCAGCAAAGGAGCCTCACATCAGTAACCGTTGTAAATGAGCCATCAAGTTTTTAAACTGTATATACAGTATATTTTTTTCTAATCTCATCATTCGTTTTGGTTACAGTCTACAACTTTATCATTGAATACAAATACAGCAGGTCTTCGTCCTCAACCCACCAACCAGGAAGTTGATGCTACAGCAGTGGCACCCAATCCCTGATGTAGACAAATGAACATGTCGGAGTGGTGACATGCCATGCAGTATGTTCCAGGATCAATACCACTTAGGGCATCAGGCGTTAAAACTGGGCCAAATCACCAGGCAGTGGTAATTCCTGATGAATGAAATGAAGTTGAATGTGGTTCTTCCTCTTTATATTTCTGGAAAAATGATACCAGGATAAAATGTAGGGACCAGTGTATATGGAATCTGATGAAGAACAGACTGAAGTCCACTGTTGTTGGTTTTTGAGAGGCTGAACCTGGCACTTACACAGTACAGTTAGTCAGATAGTTAATTACACAGTACAACATGCAGTCACATTCATTGTAATGGGGTTATGTAACCTACCCTTGACATGTCCTGTCAATAATGATGGCGCTGTGTGTATAGACTGAGCATAGACTCTGTGTGCTGTCACTGAAATTGTATTGCGTATTGGCAGTGTGTCACTAGCTAGCAGTGTATAAGTGACCCGTGTTTCCACGGTCTTGTTCGGCCTCCGTTCTGCTCATCACAGGTTCTATCTCACATAGTTGTCACAAGACTTAGTTGCACAGACTTCATACATGCCCAAAAAGTAAATAAACTTTCAATTTCACTTCTTTGTGTAAGTCATGTCATTAATAAAAAATATTCATAATACAATAACTAAAACAAGGCAACACAAGAAAAGCAAAATATTCACCACATGTTTTTATGTAAATCTCTTCAGTTGTGCTTTACCATAAGAACCTTAGAGCACAAGAACTTCTATGTTTTATTACAGAGTAATAGATTCCTATTGACCCGCCTTTGTTCAGTTGTTGTAAAGGATGTGGGAGTGAGTCTGGAGCCATGCTGGTAGGATTATTTTTGTCTAACACCATTCATGTGCATTCCTTCCAGTCAGGGGAAGGAGGAAGTGCTGGGAAAGCGTAGCGTAAGTGACGGTGGGGATGCTTCTGTAAACATCCTGTGTTCATCCTGACATTTTTAACACATTGCTTTAAATGCTCTAAGGACAGTATACAAGGGGGACCACCAACATGTCTGAAAAGGTGGAAGGCTTTGTCTTTTTTAACTGCTGTAGTAAGGTCCGACATCCTGTTGGTGTCTGTCTGGTTTGGAGAGCCCATGTTGCCAGGGCAAATTTGACTTCATTTAACACATTATGTGGTTATTTTGCAGTTTACATGTGTATTTGCTGGTTTCATTAGGATGTGTTTGCCATGACGTGGAAAACAATAAAGCTCTTGTACCTTCACAGAACGTTCTTTTTAACACTTTTGATGTTGTTTTTTTCAGAGTATTGTAAAACAAAAACCTGAAACCAAAACATCATAGACAGTGTGTTTCATAATTTAAAGATAGTTCAGTCAGACTCACCTCTAAACTTGTACCTCCCCAGGAGTTTATAGCTACTGTATCTTAGTCGTAGTCGCCTTGACATCATAGGAACCAGAAAAGCTGCCCTACTATTTTGTTAGGTAAATACGAGTCTTGTTTGTTTGTGAAAGGTGGAATGTGTGCAGTTGTAAACAGTCCCAAAAATTGTTCCACAAGTTTACAATGTGTCTCGTTCCTGGTACGGGACATATTTCAGTCACGCTTTTCCACATATTAACCTGAGTATTCTTGCTACTTCATGCTGTTCTCTGTTTATTCCACTAGTGGATACATGTTTGTGATGATTGGATTTCCCTTTAGATGTTCTGCCAACTAGCTAACAAACACGGCTCCGAGTGACTTTAACCCTCAGTTCCTCCGGTTTAAATGACGGAATCAGTGCTGATTTGACTTGGCTGAGGCTAGATTTCGTAGTCTGGTTTTTATTGAATGACTAATGCATCAATGCATTTTATCACGTCATGGTTTTACCCCACATGACTTTCTATTTAGTACTAACTTGGTTTTTGTCTTAAAGTTAAAGTTTGGTTTGGACCAAGGCTACGCCATGCTGTCAAGTTATTTATCAAGTTATCAACAACGCCTTGTGCGACCATCTGTTTTTGTGGTTCACACATCAACGTGATTCTATATTGTTCAACTTTATAGGAACCATTTGAGGATGGGTTTGCTGGTGATGAGCTGACCCCGGCTGAGGAGGCTGCTGCCAAAGAGGCTGCTGAGTCCAAAGGAGTGGTGAAGTTTGGCTGGATTAAGGGAGTGCTGGTGAGTTTTCTGTCCTTCGGTCTCCTCTTTTACCATCATAGACCAAATAGCTACGTGCTACTTTGTGACTGTCATTTAACACTTTTTTACTGTTCCTTCTGGATGATCTGCTACAACACATCAAGTTACATAGCCAATGCATGTAGGGCAAAGTAAAAAAATAGATGATAATAATAACATACTCGACACCACTTGACAAATCCAATTGAAAACCAGCAGACTTAAGAATCAGTGAAAGTTTATACTAGAGAGGAAGTAAAAGCAGCCGTAAAAGAAATAAAACCTCGATGATGATAACCAGACACATCTAAGCACAAAGACCAGTCCTCTCCAGACTGGATGTGGGATCTCATGTCTATTTATGCAAGTTGCTTCTTAGGGTTAACCGCTAGGGACCAACCACTTCATGTGCCACTAGCAATTCACACTCATAGTCCAGAATCCTTAACAGAGTGTCATCCACTTACACATACAGTTGGAATTATGCTCTGGGGTGGCACACTTGGCACTCACATGTGAGCCAAACTTCTCCGACCGCTCTGTGATCTGGACAAAGGTGTGAGTGAAAGAAGTAAGCATCATATGTGTAGTCTGTAACTTCTGAGGAATTCTGATGTTATTCCAGTACTAGCGACTTTCAGAATAATACCCCCAGATAATAGGATAAGGATAAGAGTAAGGTTGCATACATGCTCTTTTTGAACATTTTTGTGTGAAAATGACCAATTGTTGCTAATATACTAAACACTTGTCACCTGTCATTTAAGCTATTGTTGCTGTTGTCTGTTGTCTGACTGATGTCCGTGCTTGCAGACGTAGCTTACCTTAGCTCTGGTGTCTGTAGGCTTTAAATGCCTCTTGCTTGCTCTTACCACAGCTGCCAACGGAGCTTCAAAAACACTTACAAAACAAACCAAGCAATGTGAACTGGTCTTTTGTTGAGTGGTTGTAAGCAGACATGTTAGCTGATCTGTAAAAGAGAGGTCTGTAGGATTCGGATTCATATCCTGTTGCGCTTAATATATCATCCATGTAAAGGTTATTTGTCACTTTGGGATTTTGTGAAATATAGTTCATACATCGTATTGAGGGTAAAACATGTAAATATATAATATTATTGTACGTTTGACAACACTGGAACTATACACAAAACCTCTGTTTGTTTTATTGTTTCCACATGTATGTCCACAAACACGTCTTTCTTACAGTAACAGTCCTCCCTCCTTGTAGGTTCGCTGCATGTTGAACATTTGGGGTGTGATGCTCTTCATCCGCATGTCATGGATTGTTGGTCAGGCTGGAATAGGTAAGTAGAACGAGTCAAAACAGACAGAAAACACAAATAATGAAGTCTTACGCTGAAGCTGGAGTGATTGGCTAAGGGGTTTGTTTTTATTTCCAGTGACGTTAATGGATGTTGTGATTTCTGGATTATGTGTAATTTACTACTCTGTTTGTCACTCTGGGCTCAATATGTAGACCACCACTGTGGTGCCTCCTAAAAACATAAAGTAAACCAGTTGATGCAGGTGATGCACACCCTTCTATAGAGACGTAGTTTATTCTCATGTTCAACATTCTAGACCCTGTTTCATTCATCCTCAGTAACAGCACACCTCTCTGCCTCCAGCTACTGTTTTGTTTGTCATTCTCCACTGTGACGCAAAACATTACTATGTGTTAAAATGTGTTAGATGTAGCAGCTTGTTTTGAACCTGAGCTGCTACTTTTCACATCTCTCTCTCAGCATTTGGAAGATGTGATTGAAAACTGTTGACAGTGCTGCACTTTTTTTGTTGTTGTTTTTTTTCCCATAAACACAAAAAAGTGTTCATCTTTTTTCTTTTTTTTTTTCTCAACTACAGCTCTCTCCTGTTTGATTGTGGCCATGGCCACTGCCGTCACCACCATCACTGGCCTCTCCACATCTGCCATTGCCACCAATGGGTTTGTACGAGGAGGTATAAACACTTTTCTCTTTTGGAATGAAAGATTCCATGTACTTTGAAGATTACAGTTCAGTTCAGTTGACCTGATCAGAGTTGCTACGAAATAGGGTAATCCTCCTTTGTGATTTTAAACAGCATGAGCAGCTGACCAGTCACTTAATACCACTCAGTGAAAAACATTCTCTCCGTCAGTCTTTGTTAGGCTGTATCTTGAAGTATGTGTGTATGTCAGGGCTATGTTTGCTCCTTACAGTTGTCTTATGATGGCCACTTCCTAAATTTGAAAGAAAGTTTGTAGACCAGCCGTTCCTCTGCTTCAGACACACACAAAAAACAATTAATTTTCAAAGCTACCATTGAAACGAGGGAACTGTGTTACTTTGTGTTTTCCAATCTGAACACCAATCCTGGATTCTCTATTCAAACTGTAATATATAAAAAAATATATATGTAGATTTAAGCGGAGTGAAAATTTTTTTTTCAGACTCGTGAACCAACTTCTGATCATATATACTTTATTTGTACTTTTTCTACTATTTCTCAGAAAGTTTTACAAAATACAGAAACCAGTAATATGACTTAATGATCCTAAAATATTATTGGTAACTCAATATACTTTGACTTTTAGGTGGAGCATATTATCTGATTTCGAGGAGTCTGGGTCCGGAGTTTGGAGGTTCTATTGGTCTGATATTCGCATTTGCTAACGCAGTGGCCGTGGCCATGTATGTGGTGGGATTTGCTGAAACTGTTGTGCAGCTTCTTGGGGTAAGTTTTCCGACTCAAATGTTCCACATAAAACAATAGTTAACAGATAGTGATAGTGTGAAACGTGATGAGCTTTTAAACACTGCACTTGTCCGAAGACTGGTTCAGACTGGAAATGTGAAAGCTGCATTTGCTGTGTTTTTTTTTTTATTTATTTATTCTTCTCAGACCATCCAAAGTTGGGATCAGCCAAATATGGTTGGGAAACCGTATATATATGAATTTCACATAGGCTTACATGCAGGAACACATGTATTTGGGGAAAAAAACATTGATACATTATATTTGAGTGGAGATCTGTTGACCTAATATCCAAACTGCATGTGTTAGACCGGTGGTTCCCAAAGTGTGGGTGGCACCTTGTGGGGTGCGCTGAGCTATTTTTAAGAGGGGCACCAAAGAGAAGTGTTTAAAATGAAATCCAATGGAGATTTGAAATAGTAGCTGATGATGTGGGGGCTTCCTGACAGGAGTACTAACTGCAGAAACCGCTTGGGAATTGCTATAAATATGTTGCTTTGCCTTCCCCCAAGTAACCTACACAGACACTAGAGAGAGAGAGAGAGAGAGAGAAAGGAAACAGAAACAGAAAAGTCCCTGAGAGAGAGAGTGACCTCGTTTTTGTGTTGTTNTGCTGATGCCTACATGACAGATGAAATAAACGACATCAGAATTATTGGCACCATCACAATAATAATTCTCCTGGGAATTTCTGTTGCTGGAATGGAATGGGAGGCTAAGGTAAAAATATTTTGTGAAACTTTATATAAACAACGTTTAGATGCAGAAACGTTTACCCAGTAATGAAGTGTCACTTATTAAAATGAGAGGAAGGATATAGAAAAATTCCTAAACCAACTGCAAAGAACCTGCTGGTGCTGTAATAGTATTAGGATTTTGATCTGAAGAGCGTTGGTACTTCCAGGCTCAGTACACAATTTGATGAGGGCTCAGTGACACGGTGTGTTTTTGCTTCTCTGTAGGCCCAGATCTTCTTGCTTGTCGTCCTTATCACAGCCATCTTCAACTTCTTCATTGGTACCTTCATTCCTCTCAAGGCAAAGGAATCTCAGGGCTTCTTTGGCTACGATTGTAAGACATGCTGTGATCTTCAAAGTAAAACCTGGTCAGTCCTCAGCAGCACCTAAAATTTTTTTTTTAATCGACTTTTGTCCCCTCAGCTTCAATCATGTGGGAAAATATGGGTCCGGACTTCCGACGAGGCGAAACCTTTTTTTCCGTCTTTGCAATTTTCTTCCCTGCAGCCACTGGAATTTTGGCTGGAGCTAACATTTCAGGAGATCTCGCTGTAAGTAATTTATAATGTGCAAATAAAACGGTCTTGAAAGTGGAACTTCCATTTATTCTGATGTAATGTGCTGCATATGATTAGAGTCTACAAATCAATGATGTTTTAAGTTGAAGAATTGTGTAAATAATTGATGAGCATAATGAGTGACGTGAAAAGATGGATTGATGGATACTGTAAACTGTGGTCTCTTATATATATATATATATTTTTACTTTCAATAACAAACAATATCAGTGACAAAAACCACTGTTTTAATCTTATATACCAAAGTTTTAGCCTTTCAAGCCAAATACACTTGGCTAAATAAATAACTTCAGACGCGTCCACTATACTAGCAGACCATTGTCAGTCTTTTAGGTCAAAACATTGACATTTTTGGTTTTGTATAAAGAAAAGGAGAACTGTAAGAAAATGAAAATCAATTTTTATTCGTTTGAAGACATTGTGTACCGATCAGTGGCTCATTTAACAGAAATAATGCCGTGGCTCATATTCTGAGTTTGCAATCTGTACAAGAGAAAAGAGCTTAGATGTGGTAGATACTGTAACATTATTTCTACAGAGATCAGGTGTGCACATACAGTAGAGCAGGAAGTAAAGGTCTGCAATACACTGTCTAATAATACAGCATGCTATTAACTAGGTCAAAGGCCAATTCTCCCATAGTGACTTACATGCTGTGGCGGATTCCCTGCTGTTTTTGTGTCTAAGCTGTGGTGATTATGTTGCAGGACCCGCAGCAGGCCATTCCCAGAGGAACTCTACTGGCTATACTGATTACAGGAATTGTCTACCTGGGTGTAGCTGTTTCAACAGGTAGAGTATTTATCCTGTTTTTTATTTTGTTTGTTTGTTTTTCCAAAAAAACTCCTGTGTTGAGCTAAATGACAACAAGTTGATTGTATGCCAGGCTCCTGTATGGTGAGAGATGCCAGTGGAAATGTGAACGACACCGTCAGCACCACGTTCCAAATGAACTGCACTGAAGCTGCCTGCAATTTTGGCTACAACTTCACCACCTGTATTAATGACAAAGATGGCTGCCCTTTTGGACTCCATAACGACTTTCAGGTATATTGCACTTTTTTATTGCAATGAATTATGTTGTTGACCATTGAAGAATATTTCAGTTAAAATTTTAGCAAGTCCAAATGCGTTTGTTGTTTAATGCTAAATAAAGTTTTTTTTTGTTGTTGTTGTTTTTTTCTAATAAGGCAATGAGCATGGTTTCTGGGTTTGGCCCCATTATCAGCGCAGGAATCTTTTCTGCAACTCTTTCCTCAGCTCTGGCGTCTTTAGTCAGTGCTCCTAAAGTTTTCCAGGTAAATATTATCAGGGTGTCGTGAGAACAAATTCAACCAATGCAAAATACTTTTACCATTTACATTGTTGTTCACGTGTTAGTTAAAAAAAGGAACTCCTTATGTTGTGATTCTACAGGCTCTGTGTAAGGACAATATTTATCCCTACATCGGAGTGTTTGCCAAAGGATATGGAAAGAACAACGAGCCCCTCAGAGGCTACATCCTGACCTTCTTTATTGGTCTGGCCTTCATCCTCATTGGTACGGCTGCACACACTGCACACGTACACGCTGTCATTTTATGGCCCAGGGCTGTGTGGTTTGTTGAGAATGAAATATCAACGTAGTTAAATGTTTTTCATCAACATAATTAAATACTTTAATTTAACATGGCGGGTTGGACTGGCCGAGGTTGAACTGCACTCACTCCAGCAGATCACATAATCAGATGTTAGTCACATGGCAGACCAGCTGGGGTGTATAGAGTAGGGATGGCTCGATACGATACTCCAGATCTGTATCAGTACAATATTGCTGTAATTGCAGTGATTACGATTACTCTGTATAATGTATGGTTTTCAGGCAAATAGTACAAGAGTTATTTTTGTCAATTCCAGATGTGCTTCTGAAACCAGTGTTAACATGTTGATTCATTCCCACTGTAGTCCCTCCTGGAAAATGTTGGCTTCCTGAGAGGTTGATGTGAAACTCCATGTCAGTCGTCTAACCTGTTTGTCTTCATTTTGCAGCTGAGTTGAACGTAATTGCTCCCATCATCTCCAACTTCTTCCTGGCATCCTATGCTCTTATCAACTTCTCTGTGTTCCACGCCTCCTTGGCAAACTCACCAGGTAAGACCAAGACCAGTTATGAGAAGTGCTTTAAAAGGTGCTAGGCTAGCTACGCTTTGAAGACCAGCAGTGCCATCCCATTGGTTGGGTTTTAAAATTAAGTTAATTACTCGACATAGTCAAAAACAAAAACCCTCATGAGCTTTGGGGCATTTCCTGACAGCAAGTTTTATCATGTCAGACTTCTCATAGGAAAGCTGATAACTCAGGTTTTACTGACTTGTCTGTTCTACAGCATTGAGTAGTATTTGAAAGGCTTCTTAAAGAGAAGCTTCTGGATCTTTAGTCATTGTTGTTAAATGTCAAATTCACCCATTTAAGGTTTTGGACCTGTCAGTTTTCTCCTACTTCTCAGATCTACAGCCATTTTTATTATAGTAACTCAAGTGCTTCAGACTTGAGAAGACGCACCCATCGATGTGTTAGGCGTTGACAGTCTTACGTCACACGTGTGAGTGTAACACCCAGTATTTAACGGTGTTGATACCTGGTGTTTGTCAGAAACTGTGATGTTAGACCATACTCTCATCGGCTGGAACGGCTTCAGATCATTGTAATGATGTGCGCTCTAAAATCTGTTAGCTGTTACTGTTTTCCTGTTGCTGTTCTTTAGCCAGTGGTGCATAAAAATAGCGTTGTTGTTTTTATCATCAGTCATTAATGGCTCACAGCTGCTTTCCCAGTTGAAAGGAAAAGCCTCTATCCCTAATGTCATTTGATCAAAAGCCAAAATAAAACTGGCCTTTAATCTGCAGCTCAGTGTGGTGCTGTTGTCACACCACTTCATGGTCATGGGGCTTTTACAGTATGGCAAAACCTGGACATGTGTCGTTTTTACTAAATTACTAAAGATTTCAGTTAAATAAATAAATGCATTCCATACAGTAACAAATGTAAAAAGTGCAGGGTATTGGAAAAACATTGAGATCAAAGTGTAATTTCAGAACTTTTTTGAGCGACGATGTGTTTTGGGTTTTGGTGATTAGGGGTGTAACGACTGGAATCAGGACAAATCGAATACAATGATGCACATTTCCTTACAGAAACACTACACATCACCATTCAGTGACTTTTTGAGGTAACGCAGATCACTTATTACGATGCAAATCTTCATGCATTTCAGTTTCTAATCAATTCATGATGCATCGTTGCACCCCTGATGTTGATAAGTTCTACACAGAGTAGCTTTTACCCTCAATCTCTTTGGTTAATGACATCATTTTATAGGTGAGTCAGAAGATCAGCTGCAATTCTTCTCCAGTCCACAGGTGGGACCTTGACAGTATAGGTCTTTGTGCATAAAACTTGCACGCCCTGACTTCGACCTGAACACCAACTACATGTAAATGACTTGTAACCTGCTAACTTAAATGAACGCGGTGAAATGTAGAGCGTTGTTTCTGATGTTGCACAATTATAGCATTGTGATGATTTTTTTTTTTAACAAAAGTTCTGAATTATTTAACACCTAGATATAAATGTGTAAATAGGCTCAACTGACCCAGAGAGATGATTGACATGCGAAAAAGTTATTTATTTTAAGGCATGTACTTTTCTTCTCCTCAAAACCAAAGCTCTAGCACAACATCAGGTACAGATTCCTTATCTGCTACTAATTTACTCCAAGCAGGCAACCATAAAATTCATAGACTTAAAGGGTACAGGAGTTGAACGAAGGCCTGCAGTAGTTTAACCTGTGAAACCACTCAGTCATGTCTGAGCTTCCTGTTTGTCTGGCCCCTGGAGTGCCACTCTCTGTTCATTCAGTAAACAAAAACCTCTGCTTGGCACTAAGAAGTACAACGCCATCAATGTACCCTTTATGTCCGGTGAATTATTTTAGACCGTCGTTAAGGGTGTGTTCACACTAGTTATGTTTGGTCGGCTCCAATTAAAGCATTTATTAAAGTCATTTATTTAAACATGTGGCATCACCGGGACTCTGGTGAATTCAGGTGTGGTCCCTTAGCCATTTGTTGAATTAGTGTCATTTATTTAAACATGTGGCATCACTGGGACTCTGGTGAATTCAGGTGTGGTCCACTAAGGCTGATCTACTGTGTCTACTACCAGATCAACGCTAAAACAATTTGACTAAAATCAAAAAATACAGATTCAAGATCAAAACAACCTAAAGATAACATTTTAAGAAATTTAAAAAAGCCCTGTGTCAAGTAAATAATCAAGGCTTTTTTTTGACCAGGAAAAAATCTTGATGTACTTGATTAGAAAACAATCTTATTTTTAGAGCTGGAATTAACTTTTTAAATATAAAATTTAAAAACAATCTACATTTACAAAACTTAGTAGTAGATTTTTTGGTTTGGTATTTTCTGTTCAGTGTTGGTGTTTTAGACTTTTACAGCAAAGACTTTTTTTTTTACTTGTGTACAGAAGTGCCATGAGGAGTGTATTATTTTCTTTGCTTAAATCCGAACCAAAAAAAAAAACCCAGTGTGAACACACTCTCTGTAGCTACTCAGTCAACGTGTCTCCCTCCAGTGTTTAGTAACTGAACTCCAGTTCATACGTATGGTCTCTAATAGCCAGGTGATAACCTCCAGGTGTTCAGCTGAAAGGCTGCTCATAACTCCCATGTTTTTAACCCAAACATAGTTCATTTTTAACTACTTTAATTCTTTTTAACAACAACATTTACCATGCAAATGTCCTGTTAATACTGGAAAAAAAAGACCTATGTAACCATATGTAATTTGTTCTTTTAATGGCATTTTAACCTTAACTTGACGTGTGTGTTTTTATTAGGGTTGGGCGTTTTCCACATGTGACACCATGAAACCTTGTTTCCCTGTTTTAGATAACTGGTCAGGACAGATATGAACCTGCGTTTCTTCTCTATTCTACCGACTCGGCCAAAATCCCTGACTTCCTGTTTGAGCATCTTTATATGTAATTTTGAACAACAATGGCCCTGTCGCTATTAAAAACCATATGTCACTGATCACATGACTGAGCTGAACTGAAGGTCAGTGATGTTAAAGCAGTGTTTGTGTGCTTGTAAAAAACAGGGACCGTAAATTGATACAGTGGATGGCTGTGATCCAGCAGCAGTGCCCTGGAGTTGTTGATGTTCTACTTCATTTCTAACATCGTCACTATAAGTCATTCAGCTCCCAAACAAATCCTTTAGCAGGTGTTGGATATTTGGTTCATGGTACTATTTTATCGCCCAGCCCTAGTTCTCAATTCATGGTGGTGATTAATTTCACAAATGTCGGAGTTAAACAGTACAGTGAGCTGTTAAACTGCCGTTGTCTCCGTGTTTCCTTCTAACTCGCGTTCTTTGGTGCTGCAGGTTGGCGTCCCAGCTTCAAATACTACAACATGTGGGTTTCTCTGGCTGGAGCCATACTGTGCTGTGTGGTGATGTTTGTCATCAACTGGTGGGCAGCTCTCCTCACCAACGTCATTGTTCTCGGCCTCTATATCTATGTCAGCTACAAGAAGCCAGGTGAGTCAGCATGGGTTCAAGGAGGTAAAAAACAAGGTTTAAAGGTTTAGCAGATAAAGTCCCACAGTTCAATGTGATTGAAAACGTCTGGAAGATTTACACAAACCGAAAAAAAAATTATGGTTGCAACATCAACTTTTTATGTATATATATATATATTAAGTTTTCACATTTATTAAGTTTATGTTTATTTAACCAACAAAATGGTTGTTTTTGTTGAGGAATAAAAATGATTTGCCTTAGTTATCAATACACAAAAATCAGTGAAGTCCTTCACTTTTTGACCTTTGTAACATTTTCAGAACTCTTTAACAGTTAATGAGACAGTGACAAAAATCAGTTTTTGTAACATTTTCAAAACTCTTTAACAGTTAATGAGACAGTGAGTTTAAAAAACCTTTTTAATGTGCATTTGTTTATTTATTCTCTTGTTCTATTTTAGTTTTTAGCCAAAATGAAAACAGTGTTACAATTTAACTATAATAGGGTTTGAATTCATCTGTTATTTTTAACCTTCCTTCAAAATAAAATATTGGCCATGTTGTTGCAAGGAATGAGTAGAAATGATCCTTTCAGGAGTTGCAGTAAATGATTCTCAAAGAGTAAAAAAGTTTGCATCGGTCACTCAGCTAAATGATAGGATTCTGAAGTGTTTCACCCACACACACACACATCGTAGCTCCTCTTAAAACACACAGCTGGTCGTTGACACCTGTGTGCACACTTGGCTGAACACACACACACACACACACACACACACACTGGAGGTCTTTTCAGCACCACATGACACAGACGTTCTAACTGCACCGTGTGTGTCCTTCTGCCTGCATACGTGCTGTTCCAGATGTTAACTGGGGCTCATCGACCCAGGCTCTGACCTACCACCAGTCTCTGACCCACACGCTGCACCTCAGTGGGGTGGAGGATCACATCAAGAACTTCAGGTATTCACTCTTTGACTCTTTGACTCTCCAGTACACAGAGTTGTCTGGAGGAATATATCAGATCAACAACAGTGTAAGTTGTTGGAAGACTCACCCAGTCACCGACATGTCATTATCGTGACATTTTATATTAACCTCAAACCTGTGTCTATTATCTATCTTATATATATCTTATGTTTAGAACACATTAGGTGTTTTGTTTTGTTGCTTTCTAGAAACCAATCCTTCTACTATGTCAAAGATTTCTTTTCAAACCTAAGGGGAAAAAAAACCCACACCTTTTGATTGTGAGGAATTCTGACGTCAACAAGGATAAATTCCAGGAAGTGCTGCCCGGCGGCTGTGTCTGTAGACTTAATAAAAAGGATATGAATACAACTGGGTAATAAGGAACCGGCCTTTATCAAGTCCAGCTTATTTCTTATCAGTAGGAGCTGCATTACTGTTAGTTTGTACTCCGGTGGCAGATTGTCTTAGTGACATTGTGTCGTTCCCATGTCAGCAGACCCAGCAGGATATTAAATGCCTCTAATGGTGTCCTCAGTGTCTCTTGTGCTCCGGTCAAGACAAGATCTCCTCTTCGCTCCTCTATTAAATCCCTTGAGGCTTAACATATTTGCTTTGATGTGTGCTACTTTGCTCCTGTTTTTTTTTTTTTTCCCCTCTTCTCATACTAAGGAGACTGGAGGTTGTTGAGGTCAGAAGAGAAAGTAGTCACACACACACACACACACACACAGAGTAATAACGCTGTTATTGCGAAAGCCAAAAAAGAAAGTATTTATTTGAAGTATGAACACTGCCAACGTTAACACACAGTTCAATCCTTTCAGACCTCAGTGTTTGGTGATGACTGGTTACCCCAACTCTCGACCTGCTCTTCTGGACCTGGTCCACAGCTTCACCAAGAACGTAGGCCTGATGATCTGTGGTCACGTCAAAGGGGTGAGCTGATCTGTCAGTTGTTGACTGAACTTAAATATCTGTGCTGTGTCTTGTTGTTTGAGAATAGAATCTGTTCCATCAGTGACATCTCCTCTAATGAAAGCCCGTGAGTGCTTTGTTTTACCTTTTAGACCCGACTTTTTATCTGTTTACGGTTCGGCCTAATGGCCTCCAGCACTCTTCTGTTGCCTCCATTAGGACTTAGAGAAACCACTGCACTTAAATGGTATGAACATTCTCAGCCATTGTCAACCAGCCCTCATGCTGGAAGAGAAAAGAAGGTTCTGTCATGTTGACATCAGTATCGGCAGATACTCCAAGTGGCAGTATGGGTAGGTCCCCAGTTAAAATGCTGGTGATTTAAGTCCGTTTAAAAGTTTGTAAATTTGATCAAAATGTTCAACACAAACAAATGTCACTTTCACAGACATTACATTAAGAAACACAGCAGAACCAATGGAACAATCATTAGGGTTTCTACCCCGAAGCAGGAAGTTGGAACGTTCTAAACAAAGTCACTTTGAAACATTTCCAGCGTAATAAAAACATCACTGCTCGTGTCCATGTCCTCACAGGGCTACAGAAGGCAGAGCTTCAAAGATCTGGCTGCAGAGCAGTCCCGGTACCAGCGCTGGCTTCTGAAGAATGAGACCAAAGCCTTCTATACACCAGTGTTTGCCGAGGACCTGAGACAGGGCAGTCAGTACCTACTGCAGGTGGGAAAACTCTTTCACTGGGTTTGTGATGCACATCCAATCTGAAAAGACGTCACAGAATCAGGTCCAGGTCTTCTAAAGTGAACGGAGTAAACATGAACGGCTCTCAGATTAGACAACTACAGATTCATTTCCAGGAGAGACTCTGTTCTATCAGATAAAACGAGCCAGAAACCAAAAAGTCTACATCCAAGTGTTCCTTCTAATCCTCCTAGGATTAGGAGGTTCATTTCCCCTATGAGGGTTGTGCATTGATTGTGTATAAAATGGATTTAGTATGTAAACAATGAAGTCAATGGAAACATTAAGGTCAAATGTCAACAGTTAGAGTTTCAGTGAACAGAGCAGACATCATTTTCAAGTGTCATTTAAGCATTAAAACGATGCAGCACGACAGATGATATGAAAACGTTGACGTGTGACGATACTGTCCACTCTACTGTGTCTGAGGTTGTATTTGTAGTTTCAGTATTTGAGCCAACAGAGTGCTGAAGTATTTTACATGAATGAATGGAAAAATAGACGGATCATTTAGTAAATATATGGATCGATGTGTTGTCTCTTAATTGAGACAAAACTGGAGTGGTCAACATCACAGCAGCATTTTACAGTTGAAGGTAAAAGACAAAGGCAAGAAAATTAATTATTATAAATGTTGATTTAAAAAAATGTTGGTTTTTCATTGGTGTATCTGAAGGCTGCCGGCCTGGGTCGCCTCAAACCAAACACCCTGGTGCTGGGCTTCAAGAACGACTGGAGGGATGGAGACATGATGAACGTGGAGACTTACATCAGCATGATCCAGTGAGTAGAGTTACTGTGCTCAGCTGAGAGAGTCACTGGTGTTGGGTTCACCACTCACTTTCACTGTAGTGAAACCTTTTCTTTAACCGAGAGCATATGGAATTTAGAAATAAATAAGTGGTCTCCGTCCCCAGTACTGTTTGTGTCGGAGAACAACTGGCCTTCACATACCATGAAAGGTGTAAACAGGCCACACAAACATATCTACTTTCCAAGTTCCTTAAACTAACATAGATAGTCTTGTCTCCAAGGATAGTGTTCTTAGACACAGTGTCCTTATTTTTGGATGAGAGATGCATTTTTCTTCTAGTTTTAATAATGTCTTGTGGAGTGGAGCCAAAATGCACTTTAACACAAGTGAACTCCTCCTGCCTGAAATAATAACAACAACAATAACAACAATAATAATAACAAATCCAAAGGGCTTCTTCAAATTTCTGTGTCTTGTCATTGGAGTCAGTGATTGTGTCAGTGATTATCTACACTATCACACACACAATAACCTGTTGTTCTTTTACAGCGATGCCTTTGACTTCCAGTTTGGTGCTGTCATTCTGCGTCTGAAGGAGGGACTTGATGTGTCCCATATCCAAGGACAAGGTATCAGAACAGTTGGTCATATCATGGTTCCAGATATGAACAAAAAAATTTTTTTTTTCTTAGTCTTAGTGATCATCCACACAGGTGTGCATTAAAAAATGAAGTAGGCCAGAAAAGAGGGAAAAAAATGATTTGTTTATTGATTGATATACATTGACACCAAGCAGACATTACAAAAAACAACAAATATTATTATTTATTATTTACAATCATTAAAACATTTCTACACTTACGCTGTTATTTATTGGTAAAAAAAATCCAAAGGGCCTCGTTTAGAAAAAGGAACATTTTATTTCACCATTTCATTTTTCCAGTATCTCATGACGGTGCTTAGAAAACACAGTGTCGTTTAAAGCATTTTAATTATTAGTCCCTGTGGGACTAATATAAGCTTAAAATTGCTGCACCACAAATTTCCCATAATGCCTCTTGAAAGCCTTCTTTGTCTGCAGTCAGACTTTTCCAAGGTCACAGCAGCAGTCGTGTTTTTTAGTTCGAGTGAAACCAACAGTAATGCTGTGTGGAAGGGCATTGTGTTACTTTTATCCAGATGAAATTCTACTGTATTTCTTTTTCTCAGCCTCAGCACTAAGTAGGATATCATCTTTCTCCCTCGATGGCTAATTTTCTCCTCGTTCTCAGTTGTCACCATGCCTCCTCTCCTCCTCTTTCCCCACAGATGACCTGCTCTCCTCCCAGGAGAAGTCTTCAGGGATGAAAGATGTCATTGTCTCCATAGACACCAGCAAAGACTCTGACGCCGACTCGTCCAAACAAAGCTCCAAGGCCACCAGCCTCCAGAACAGTCCTGCCATACAGAAAGGTGAACAAGAACTCCCCGTCACCCCCCCCCACACACACACCTCCCTCTTCTCTTAACACAGGAAGTGTGTGTCAGCCTGTGTTTACGTTACACTTCATGACCAAAGAAAATCCAGGATATCGGTTCGGCCATGTCACAAATCCTTCTTAATCCATCTTTTCTATATAAGACACACACACACTCACACTCTTTTGTTCATAAGCAGGAAATTGTCACCCGGTTGTCCCACAGGTCACAGAGTAGAATTCCACAGATGTTTGAGCCCTTAAGTGTGTGTGTGTGTCTGCGTGACACACACACACACAGATCACCATCCCATGCCTCCTACCCATCTGTGAACAGAGCAAACAAACAAACAGTTCTCTGTTGTGGGAACTTAAGCAATAAAAACATTCCCAACACCAACTGGCTGTGGCTCAGTGACGCCTGCTGAGAGCTGCTCAGTCGCTCAACGTTAAAACCACATTTTCTTTGAAAAAGTAGAGAAGAGGAAACATAGACGTTTAACCACCATACAGTACTGGTTTATCTCTCTTTGAACTGGTCCCCCCCCCCCCCCCATTCTCCCTCTCTTGTCGACTGCTGGGATTGGCTCCAGCTTCCCTCGCCGATATGAAAATGTTTCAGCAGTGAACGAACGAACGAATGATTGAATGAATGGTGTTGACCCCAGGCTGCTACAGTGACACCTGGGAAATATATGTAACAAAACAAAGGATTTATTCTGTTGTAATCCCAAAGTAGCAGTTAAGTGGTGGAGATAGCGTGAGTTTTTATAGTAAAAGTAAGTAAAACTTCCTGGAACCCTGGTTCCCACTCAGTTAATTATAATGTTTTCCTCTGTCTTTTGTCTCAAATTTCTCAGATGACGACGACGATGGCAAAGCTACCACTCAGCCCCTGTTGAAAAAAGGCAGGACACTGATTTTTTTTTTTTTTTTTTGGGTTGCCTTAAATCTTTTCTTTCTTTCTCTGCTTTGTTGAACTTTTCCTCATCCTGTTTTATCAGCCTCTCTTCTTCTTCTTCTCCTCCTCTTTTCTCTTCTTTTCTTCCGACTCTCGGGACATATTTTCCTTTGCTTACTTTTTCATTCATCTTCTCTTTCCTCCACAGTATATTTTGAATTCCTTCCGCATTAACGTAGTGTCCTGCTTCCTGCTGTCCCTGTCTTCACTTTCTCCCAGTCTGCCTCGTGTTTCTGGCCCTCTAACCACTTGGCATCAGGGAATAACATTTTGTCTTCTCCTCCCTTTCTCCTGCTCTCAGGCTTAAAGGTCAAGTCTAGTTTCTGCAGACATAGTAGAATGTCAGTTGTGTGAATGTGCCTTACTTCAAATCCAAGTCTTCAGTTGTTGTAATTGTTGTGTGTACAGACATTTCTGTTTTCCTCAAACTGTCTTCAGTCTCTTTCCAGACTCCAGTCTCTTTGCTGCTGCTGCTTTTCTTCTCTGCTTAAAGCTTCTTCTCTTCCAGGACGAAAAGCGTTTCTCATGTTTCTGCTACATCATGTGACGACACACAAATCCTGAAAGAATTTAAAAAAAAAACACTAACGATGACACATTAGAAGTTATGAGGTTAGAAATAATAACCCTAATCCTTGGTTTGCAGTTTGGTCAGTGTTAGAAACCACTGTTAACAACAAACATCTAATGTAGTTCAAAAAAACTTTCTATCCAGGATTACTAAGATTCAACTGACTAAAAATTGCAATTATTTTAATTGTTGTCGCAGGCATTTCATTTGTGACAACCGTTTCAGACTACAGTTGTAAATTGTTTGACAGCCATATACCTAATATGTACTAAAATTAGGGCTACGTTTATGTGGGAATAAATGAAGATACTAAACATTTACAAAAGCATTTACATCGATAGTCTTTTGTCTTTTCTAAAAAAAAAAATTAACATAAATGTTGTGCGGGGGACACACTGTTTGATTCTGTGCTATTCTGAGAATGACTCACTGATTTAACGCTTACATTAATGTCAGTTCCATCTTAATGTGTCCTCCATTAACTAACAGACTTCACAGCTCCAGAATTTTAGTGGTGAAAGAAAAATAATGACTTCTTTTCCTCCGTTCTAATCCGTTCCCTTCTGTCTGGTGTTTGTCGTTTGCATGGCCACGCGTCGCCCGATTCTGCCTGCAGACAAGAGAAGTCCCACGGTACCGCTGAATGTGTCGGACCAGAGGCTGCTGGAGGCCAGTCAGCAGTTCCAAAAGAAACAAGGAAAAGGAACGGTGGACGTGTGGTGGCTGTTTGACGACGGAGGTGAGTGTGTTTAGTCAGAGAAACGGCTCCTTCAGTTTGTCTAAAAAAATACAAAGTAATAACGTCCAAAAAATCATAATAAAATGTTTCTGGTCAATGTCAGCCTGCTCCTTACAAGTCTGAACTTTTCAGCTTCTTTGTTAATGCCATAACATCACAGAAGAACAGTCTTTTTACAGTGATGATTGTGTTGATCCCATGTAGCGTCACCTGAGGTGTCTATTAACTGATAAAAATAAAATACTTTTTTAAAACTGATTATCATTATTTTTTAAATTATGATTAAAAACACCAAACACATTCTCAAGCAACTTTATTCTTTCACTTAATAAAGATTCATCTAACTCATCTAAGACAAGACGGTGACGTGCTAAATCTAGATCTACAATAACAATTATATGACGATATGTTCAAGGATGATTTTCTCTGGTGCAACAAAAAAAAACGTTTTCTCCAGGAAAGCGGCGTTGCTCACTCATGTGGCCACTCTAATCTGATAATTTGGTCAAAGTCAAAAGCAGCACTCGGTGATGCAGTCGTGCTGCTCACATGTTAACCTCAGTTGTTGTAGCAGCTGTCCTGACTGGGTTGTCAGCAGACCGGCCGCTGAAAGTCCCACCAGCTGTGCCTCAGTCGGACTCAGCCTACAGCTGAGTCACAGTAACACGATCGGCACCGAGCACCTGTCTGACCCCGTCTCCTGTCTAGGTCTGACCCTGCTCATCCCCTACCTGCTGACCAACAAGAAGAGATGGAAGGACTGCAAGATCCGTGTCTTCATTGGAGGCAAAATCAACAGAATTGACCACGACCGCCGAGCGTGAGTAGCACACATGTTCCTCCTCCGGCCACATGTTATTGAAATGACTTATAAACAGACAAGCATATGGCTGACCTCAGACCTGCACCCATGACAATAATATTTGAAGAATGTATCAGAGACAGGTGGTGCCTGGAGCCCACTTACAACCTGAAACTGTAGGACAGACACTTTCTCCAATAAAGCTGAGAAGTCATTGTTTTCTGACACTGTGACATGTCAGGATTCTTTTAGGAATGTACTGTTCCTCGAGCCAAATCAGTTTTCAGCACAAAGGCATCTGTCAGTCTCTGCTGCTCAAGAGAATCCACTTACAATACCCTCTCTCTCTCTCTCTCTCTCTCTCTCTCTCTCTCTCTCCCTTTCTCTCTTTCTCTCTCTTTCTTCCTCCTCTATCTGTCTCTCATTGTCCCGTACAGCTGCCTCCTACCTCCTTTTGTTGGGTAAAATTAGCTCGCTGCTAAGATTTGAGCACCAACCCCGGCCTGTTTTCCCGCTGATGGTTCTGCTGTTCCATAGATAAACAGATGGGTGTAAGCACAGATGAAGATAGACATTACATTGATGGACAAACTGTGTAAATGCATTCTCCATCTCAGCAGCTCCATTTGCGGGGAATAAGTTGGGTTTTAAAAAAGGACACAAAACAACAGTCATCACTGGTGGCATATCCATCCACCCTGGGGTTTGACTCCAGACCCTTCGTCGTCTTCCTCCTCCTTCGTTTGTTTGATGTAATAGCTATGTCAAACAAAATTAGTAAAAATACAAAGGAATATAAAAATAAGAAAATGAAAAAGGTGCAAAAAATAAAAACTCTCCACACAGTAGTTAAAATACCCTAATGTATATGGAAGCAGCTGAATTTAAATGTCTTCTAAGTGTCAGAAGGCGCCACAAGGAAACAGGTATTACAAAAGAACTTGGGCAAAGATTATTACAAAATAATTTTTGGTTCTGTCCCAAAACTAGATGGCGCTGTGGGCCTTGTCAATCATCAACCACAAATGACAAACAGTTTTCTTTTGTTCTTTGTTGTTCTTGATATTAGTTTTATAATATGCAGTTGTCTGGTGGAGTCATGCACCAGACAGTGTTACAGAGTCGTTCTGTTGAAGACAGTAATACTACAGTAATACTACAGTAATACTACATTCTGCCTTTGGTCTGATGGTAGTTATCCACAGTCGTCATTGGCCGGGGTATAAAACCTTGGTGACACTAAAGAAGGAAACGTGTAAATTTAAAAAAAATCACATCTTTAGCTTAAATACAAAGTAGACAAACAGGACGTTGACAGGTTGGTGTGGATTATTGTCACGTCCAGTGAATTTAGTTTTTATGATCATATTAAATCTGTCACATTTTTTCCACGCCTGGTTGTGTTCCCAGATGTTCCCCCAGTGTGTGTGTGTGTGTGTGTGTGTGTGTGTGTGTGAGGGTCTCAGTACTTCTTAAAATAACGAGGAGCCCAGCTGATCCCTGCTGATCTCCTGTAGACACAGTGAACTGAAATCAGATTTGTCAGAGTAACAGGACCCTTGTACCAAAATACCATCAACAGTAACCAGCAGCAGAGCGTCTGTGACAGAGAACACCCCAGGCTCTCGGTTCCCTTTGAAACTGCAGGTGAAGGAAATGATTCTTCATACGCAGAATTCTTTTCCTCGCTGACCTTATCTTCCCAGGAACTCGGTGGTTAAAACACTTCAAATCTTGAAAGCAGTCGTAGCACGACCTCCACCATGAGTCACTGCATATCTGAGAGGATTGGAAATGCCTTGGTCTAAAGCTGTAAACCTCATTGTTTTGTCTTTTGTTTCTTCTGCAGAATGGCCACTCTGCTGAGCAAGTTCAGGATAGACTTCTCAGACATCACTGTACTGGGAGACATCAACACCAAACCCAAGAAGGAGCAGTAAGACACGCTCAGTAGACCTCACAGAGCAATGGTTTTAATGAGTCCCTTATTTTTACCACAATGTGGAAAGTCACAGTGTGAGACTTTCCAACCCACACAGTCTGCCACATGGGGGGTGGCATTAAGTATGTGGTTCCTCTGGGGCTTGAACCCTGGACCTTCTGTGTGTAAGGCAGGCATGAACAATGAAACTACCAAAATAGGGAAAACTGAGGCCTTACAGCCTGAACGTCATTTTCAAATCCACTCCCTGAGGTTATGTAATTTCCCGGCCAGTAACATTAACCTTCATGCCATTGTTGTTGTGCAGCACGACAGCCTTTGAGGAGATGATAGAGCCGTACCGGCTGAAGGAAGACGACATGGAGCAGGAAGCAGCCGAGCAGCTGAAGAACAGCGAACCATGGAGAATCACAGACAATGAGCTGGAACTGTACCGTGCCAAGGTCAGCAGATCTGACCTCACTCCGCCTTAGTCACGAACACTGTTTGTTTTTCCACACACTTTGTCAGTGTTAGCGATCGCTGTCAAGTCACACTGACCTACAAACACTGCCGTCTGTGCAGGTCTGAGGCTGAGCTGTTGAGTTAATGCAGACATTGGTGATATCATCTGATGTCACACATCACTGATAGAGTTTGGACTAATGTTGTAAGAATCCTTATTTACCTTCATTTGATTAGGTTCTATTCAGACCTTCTCCTTCTTCAGAGATCACCACAGCTCACATGTCCAAACATCGTTGACCTCTCTCCCCTAACTTCAGTTTTTAAACTCTACATGTCTAATCTCTATCCTGGTCAATCCTAATCTCAGCACCTTCAACTCTCCCGTCCCACTCCCCTGTCTCTGGTCCCTGTCCTTACACCAGGTCTCGTTACCATCTCATAGTCGTGTGTCTAATTTAAATCAAGAGGAGAATGTCACCTATTGTTTTTGACCCGCACTTATAATGATATCAATAATTTAAAACCAACCTATTGTTTGAGTATAACAAAGCCTGTGAGCGTCACTCAGATGATTATCTGCTCAGATCAAACCTAAACACCGGTTTGTTTTTGTTCTTCAGACTAATCGTCAGATCAGACTCAATGAGCTGCTGAAGGAGCACTCGAGCACGGCCGCCCTCATTGTCATGTAAGCTGCCGCTGTGTGTGTGTGTGTGTGTGTGTGTGTGTGTTGTTACTGTAACTCTGTATAATCTCACTGTCCTGTTTTGCTGGACACACAACAAATGTTCTGATTACATGGTTGATCAGACATTTTTCTTTGATCTGAAACTAAATGTAACGTATTTAAACAAGTACTACCTGTGATAGTACTGCAGTACTACCTGTGATAGTACTGCAGTACAGACGGGTAACCTTGACTCAAAATAAATACCTGATCTTCTAATGGTAGTTATTGTGTAGCTTTGTGCTTATAACAACATTCTCTATTGTGTAGTGGGTAAGATGTCAGGGATTCTTCATTGAGTTGCTGGTTCAAATCCTGACAGTGGCAGGACTAAAAGATTATGACATCCAGTGGAAACCACTTGAAATTTAAATTGACTAAGAGTTTGTTTTTTTTTAGTATTACCAGGTAAATATAAACACGTTTACGTTTCTTTTTGGTTTATCCTCACGTAAAAGTTTTGAAGCTTTACTTTACCATGTTTTTATGGGGCCTTTTTTTTAAACTCATTTGTAACATTTTTTTTTTCTCAGCGTAAACTGAACAAACTAGTATCACTACTGACTCTCAACGTCTGCTTCCCTCTGTGAACAGGAGCCTGCCGCTGGCCAGGAAGGGGGCGGTGTCCAGCGCCCTCTACATGGCCTGGCTGGAGGTGCTGTCCAAGGACCTGCCGCCCATCCTGCTGGTGCGTGGCAACCACCAGAGTGTCCTCACCTTTTACTCTTAGACAAACACACAGACAGAGAGCAAGAGAAGAGCGTGGCGATTTTCATGTCTGGGAGAAGACACGCGTACACACCCCTGTTCCAGTCCACACCTAAAGGTGCATCACACACACTTCAGAGAAGGTCAAACAGAAACACTGACGGAAACAAAGCTGGTTACTTGAATCAAATGAAGGAAGAGAAACGGTTTTCCATATGTAAATGCTCTGAGTGATGGAGGAAAGTCTGGGTGGTGGTGGGTGGCGTTGGTGAAGTTGCCCACTCTTCTATTTATTCTGAGATATCTAGATTCTTCTGTAGCGCCATAGTTTTTTTGTTTTTTTTGTTTTTTTCCCCCAATTTCTTCATGGAATATTTCATCATTGTTCGAGTTCATTTCTCTCAGGCACCAAACTCAGTTGTGCACAACGATCACATTGTTCTCATCTGGTGGAATACATTGATGTCACACTTGTCGGGTGAAGCGGACGGGTTGCGTTGCAGCAATAAAATCACTCTGTTGTTTTCCTCGGATGTTGAGAGAGAACCGCCTCCTGAAGCCTTATGGATGTGCCTTCCAGCTGAATGAGATGAGATAATTCCAATCTCTATTCCAGGTTGACAATATTAACTTTGCTCCGTTGTAGTTAATGATACTGAGGCTCTCAATGTGATTCCTCCTTAGTCAGAACTTTGTATTTATGCAAATTAATTGCATTCAATTTATTGAAGGCTGTTAACGTGATTGCATTTGAAGAAGCCAATCTGTCTTCATTCTTTCTCTGTTTTATTGGATGTGTTTGTAAAGGGCCATTGCATTTTAATCTTTCTGTTCATTTTTGGTCTTCCTTTTCAAAGCTGTAGAAATATACACAACTGCAGTACATAACCAGAGACAGCAGTCATCCTCTGGCTGTGATGTCTCAGATGTTTGTGTGCTGCAGCTAAAGATGTGAACATAGCGGTTTTTAAAATCACCTCGTCAGGTGACGAGCTGAACTCTCCCGTGTAGCTTCTTATTTGACTAAATTAAGTGTTTGTGCTTCTTTGCCTGTGTTGACACTGCTTCACCTAATGAGTTTGTTCAAACCTTGCCTTAATTCTGCAACAAGCTGTTGTTACTACACCCCTCCCCCAACCCCACCTCAAAAATAAGCCATACTGGCTGGAACAATTAATGGGTGACATGAGAATCAATCATCATTTGCCAGTTCTTTGGTGAACTTCATTGATATATATTTTTCCCATAATGCACCTGGGTCTCTGTTACAACGATGGCGCTCGAAGGCCTAGTTCTCTGAGTGAGCATTAGCTGCTGCAGTGGTTTTGCACGTGTCTGACAGGCTGCTGCTCCCTCTGGTGGCCACACAGAGTGAGTGACGTGAGCTTCGTGCTGTGATACTTGCTGACAGGAAGAATGTGAAATCAGAATGAGTGAAAATATACCTCTATGCATATGAGCTTGTGTTGCTGAAGCACTTGTAGTAGAAGTCCACTACACCTCCTGGAAGAAAGGATACTCTTTCCTCGGTTCTCTTGTAGGAAGTTCATTCTACCTTTTTTTTGTATTTTAAGAGACGTAAAAGTGAGACATGTCAGAGTGACGTGGACAATACTATAGAAACTTAGCTGGACTTGGAGGGGAAACGTTACTTTTGTATCCTTGACAAATTCTTAACTAAAACTAAAAGACTCTGGCCAATCACAGGGCAGTTCAGAGAAAGGTTGTTAGCAGTGTTCCTATTGGCCGTTCACTACACTTTCCATGCTGCACGTCTTTAAAAAAAGGAGATTAATGTTACAAGAAGAGCCCTGCACTGTATCAGGTCTAAATCCACATCATAAACCAGACATGAAGAATAGATTGATGTGGAAACTGTTCTCCATACAAGCAAGAATTAAAAAACAAAAAAAACATTCATTCATAATAAACATTTATGCTACACTATCAGTGGGCCTGAGAAGGTGGATGAGCAGATGGTAGAAGCACAACGCCCCAGTGATGTAGAAGAAAATCATTAGACATAGTTTACCCCAAAATTGTGTGGAAATAGAGAGTACAAGGAAGTGCTGTTACATAAAGGATGTAGGAATGTATAACCTGGAGATCAGGAGCAGCAGGATTTCCAAAGTCATGGGCCTGGTTAGAGCTCAGCACGACACAAAAATGAGTCCTTTCATCAAACGTGACAACATCACACACACACCTTAGGGAGCTGGTCATGCTGTCTACAGACAAACACAGAAAATATTTGGTGACAAAAACGAACAATTTGTTGACAACAGCAGGGGCAGAGAGAGAGAGAGAGAGACATTCTCAAGACCTACGTCTGCCATCAAACCAGTTCCTCTGAAGCAGAGAGTCCAGTACAAAGAACACATGACACGAAAACAAGTACAATCACCTACTCCAGCAATCCTGCCTACGCAGCTTTAACACTGTCCCATAACCTGGGGAACCATAGTTAGTCAAGAGCACAACACCTCCATTAATAAGCCATGCAGACATGCTGTCACCCCCTCTCTCCCCCAGCTCTAATTCACACTCTCACTTCAGCGTAAAGCTACTGATGCCACCTTTTCTACTGGAGATGATGTCATTTCAGAACGTATGAGCCGAAAGTGATGCTAATGTTAACAATGTGACACGAACATAAGGACAATAAAGAAAGAACGTGGTTATAACTGTTGTTTTCCTGTTAGAATTAATGTTGCAATCATAAGATATCACCGTGCCAACAGTCGTGGTCTGTCCCAATACACTCTGTGGCCGTGTCAGAAGTAGATGAATAAAAATATATGGAGCAAGTGTGAAGGAAGTAGATTTTGAGATGGGATGTTGGTGGGAGCAGGTGAACAGTGATGTTTTTATAATTTTCAGTCAGACTTGGGAGATTATGTTGTTTTCTCCTGTTAAGGGTTCAGTGTGTAACACAGTGACTTCTAAAAAAAAAAACCTCAGGTTTTGCACCAAATTGTAAAACAAAGTTTTAATTTGGATTTTTAAACTGTTCAATAGTCTGGTGTTTTTACTCACTAATCCAGCAGAGGGAGCTCTCTGACAGCTTGAGCTAAATTCTCATCTTGACGTTTCTAAGACGACAGTGAAACTTTGTGATTTAGCCAATATTTGGACAAATAAAAACGAAGTTCAATTCAACTAAATTTGTATACACACATTGGACATTGATGAGAAAAGTCATTCACAAAATGGAGCCGACTTCAGCAGAGAGAGCCGATGAGTTTAGCACTTAAACCTCATGAGATGTTTAACTTATTGGCTTTAATAACTCCAGACGTTGTTTATTGCTAAACAGAGCGCCACCTAGCGAATTGAGACGCTTTATTGATGTTTATTATCCAGAGAACAGTAACAGTAACGGTAACAGGCAGGCTCGGGCTGCCGCTTCTTAATGTACACATTTATACACTACATAAGAAGCAGCAAACGGCATGGCCTCCGCGGATACACACAGAGAGTGGAGTCTGTAGTCGTACCACTAGATGTCACTGTTACACACTGGACCTGAGACAACATAAAAGCCATGAATGAACTGAGACAGAAAAAAACAACACCTGCAGCTCGTGTTTCTGTGGATCACTGAACTGAACTGTATGTTCAGCAACTGCCATTTAGCCATTGGGGTCAAACAGGGTTCTTCTATTTTTTTTACACTCCCACCCAGACCATGTGATCTATGTATTATATGCAAATCTAATCTAGGAATGTGACACGATGCCTGTTTTGGTTGAATGTATTAATGAGCGCTTTTCTTCTCTGTCCTGCATACCAACTGCTTCCTGCTCAGACTGTAGATAGCACAAATGCAGTATAGCATCAGCTCTTATTACACCCTGTCACTCTGTTATTATGAGTGCATATACTGTACTACAATACTGTACATAAAGTACACACACTCCTAACCACATACACTAACTACAGGAGCAACTTTTTTGGCTCTTTGAGATAAATAGGACAATAAGTTTGGATTTAAAATATGATCAATGAAAGGCTAAAGGTATTGTTTTTATATATATATTATTTAAATATTTTTAACATTTTAAACCTTTAACTTCACCTGCTGCCTCAGGACAAATTAAATAAAAAGTGAACCTATTTTTCAAGTAGTCCAGAGGAGCATTACTAACCACATGAAGGGTCCTGTAAATGCTTCTTATAAAGCATGGAACTGAACGCTCTTGAACAAACGTCAACAAATACATGACAATATATATATATATATGTGTCCCCAACTGACCTGTAACAAAGACCCTGTTGAAAAACATGCTTGTTTTGAAGCATCAAGATGAGTGACCTTATGCTGATCTCTTGATTACACTCTGTGTCTAATTTCAATGTCAGTATTAGTCTGACACAGTATTATCAAGGATTTAAAACTGTTACTACTTTAGTGCCACAACAGATGTAGAAAATGAATGTTTTTGTCCCCAAAAAACTCACAATACAAACAAATGGCCCTATGCTGAACAAAAATAAATTCCTAGAAAGATTCACAGTTTTTTATTTAGTATAACATAGTAATATTACCGGGAAAAAACAAAATAGTTTCAGTAAACCCCTGATTTTTTTTCCCCCTTTAAAACTATGGCTCGAGTTTCATTAACGGTTATTTCCCAAAAACTATGGGATAAAAACTCACCTTAAGAATGTGGTCCTTTTAACGGCTAATGAGTCTCTTGTTAGTGTCCAGCGTCTTCAACAGATGAAACAGTCATATGTAGAAGGCAGAGGCCTTCAACGGGGCTGTTGGAAATACACACACATATACATATTGATACATACATACATATGGGTGTATATATATGCGTATATATATATATATATATACATACATATATGTGTGTATATATATGTATATATATATATATATGCCTATATATATTAATGTATATGTGTGTATATATGTATATTTATATATATATTCATGTATATGTCCATATATATACACATATATTAATGCATACATATACATGCATATGTACGTGTAAATGTCTTGTAATACATATTACTGTGTATACAGTACAACATATAGTAGGGACCAGATCAATGTAGTTGAATTCACTGTTACAGTTTTATACAGCAGGTGGTCCCTGCCCCGTCCTTCCATCAGTTTGGCGTTGAAGGCCTCTGCCTTACTGTACAGTCGGTTTTACTATTACCAGGTCATGAACGCCACACGGGTTCCTAAGAAAAACATTTCAAGATAAAAGGTTTTGGACAGATGAGCTGATAGAGGCAGAACCAAACAAGGACACGGGTTACTCTATATTTGTATTTTAAAGAGTAAAAAGGTAAACACAGAATATATAATATATAAATATACATATATATATATAATCAGTATGCCTGTATCTTTACACTTATGTAAATGTGTCTGTCAGACCTGGAAAAGGTCGTTGTCCATTTTCACCTTTCAACACCTTCCAAACAGATGGTTGTATGTGTAACCTGGTCGTCACGTCCTGGTAGCTGTAGCCCTAAGTCTGTCCAAACATCTCCTGCTGTGCAACCAACCAAATGTCCGTGTAAACACGTCATGTGACACGCCTGTGTCTTTTCTTTTCTTTTTTTTCCCTGCTTTTGCCAAAGCTTCTTCTTCTCTCTGTACCTTATTGCTCCTGCGTTGATGATGATGATGATGATGATGAGGACGATGATGGTGATAACGATTAGTAGACCAAAGGATGATGGGTAATTTTGTGGTCTTAATATGTGACAGTGATGGGCCGCTGTGTCTTTACTGTCAACTTTAAGTGCAGCCTGTAAATACATGTTATAGCCTCATGGCATAAATAAAGGTAGTGGTCAATTTATGTCATATTTCAAATTAGGGAGAAAGATATTTATTTTAGATCAGATGTTTCTCCACTCATACGTGTTTTTAATGTCTTAGTTTGAGTTTTCCTTTAATTTGCATGTTGATTTTTTTTTTCTCTTTCTTTCTGTTGATTTTGGCAAATTGAAGTCTTTTTTTTCTCCTCTACATCTTTTTTGTGTTCCATATATTTCTCTCTGTTCAGTGATTTCTTCTTCTTTTTTTTTTTTTGTTGCCGTTGTTGAAGAAAAGCTGATGACAAAAGCAGATCAAACTGTTTTCCCTGCTGTTTCACACAAACATGGATGGAACTGACCAAGCCAATGTTTCAATCCACTGTACTGTTAACAGTTCCAAATATGCTTTTTCTAACATTTTAACATTTATGATTACCCACACTTTGTACATCTTTGTTGCAATAAAGAAATGAAATCAGATGGGGTTTTTTTTCTTTTTTGTCTTTTTTATTCCCTTACTCAAGATGGAAAAGTGAACTATGTATAGACCTGCAGGAGTTTTAGATTTTAAAATATTGACCAAGATGTTTCTTTCTTTTTTTTTAGATTTTAGAAATACATACTTTCTAAATGTGGAGTTTTGACCCACATTACAGCAGTTGGGCTCTCATTGTTATCAACTACAGCTTCATCATATATAAGGACCTTGTATCAGTCACCAGTCCAGGTTCACCTTGGACATTGGAATTGTTGAAAAAAAAAACTGATTTTTTTTTTTACTGAAGGTCAAAATTAAACTTGTGCTGCACTCATCTCTATACTTGAATTTGTTTACAGTAAATCTGAATTTCTTAGACACAAGGGTGCTCTGTCCATTTGTATAAAGAAACGTTCTTTGTAGGACAAATATCTGTTGTTGTCAGTGACAGAGGAATGCTGATGGATTTGAAGCATTACCAGGTGATGATGTTGGATGAATAGTGAAATAAGATGCTCTTTTCGGTTCTAACAATTGTAAATCTGACTCCAGAGAAGTCACCAGCCATCAACCTCATCGTCACTGATAGTATGTACTGTACATAGTACATTGCTGTAAAGTTTGTGCTCTTGTGTTTGGTGAAAGCTTACCCTAATTTAACACCTCCCAAATTACCCTTCTGGGTAATTGAAAGACCCCAAGGCAAACTGGGGGATGGAAAAGAAGCAATTTTTTTTCTCAATTCCAAATTTCATTTTGGAAAGCCAGTTCGTTGATTTTAAAACGAAAAATGAAATACAGGTCATTTTCTGTTTTTTGAATTTTTTAATTCAAAATGGAAATCGGATGGCCGCAATGTACACGGACCAAGCTCTATCACGCTGTGACCTCAGTGTCATCAGTCGGTCTTCTGTAGGTGATATGGTTGAACTGAAGCAGAAGCGAAGTCTCTGGATCAAACCTCAACTCACCATGTAATTCTATGGTCCCAGGGCACTGCTCTGTTCAAGGCCAGTATTCTTTGCTCCATATTAGCAGGATGGCCATACAAAACCTGTCACTCTAGTGCAGGAGGTGATAGTTTGTTATAGAAGAGACAGAGGACTGGTGAAAAACTGCAGCCAATCAAAATTCGACACGAGTGACTGTCATGTGTCAACAACAATGATATAAATATTCCAGGAGGCGGAACATTTCTCAGTCCTAGCCAATCAAAGACAGTCAGTTTTCTCCCCTTTTTTCACCAGTAGTCTGTCAACAGTCAACACTGATGTTTGACTTTAATACAGAAGAGATGTAAACGACTGTAGTAGGGAGCTTGTCACAGCCTATCCTGCTGACTGCTGACCTCCACAGCCCCCTCCTCCCTGTCAGTCATCATCATCTCACCCACAGGTTCCAACAGCTGCAGCCGATCCTCCTGTCAGTAGTTAAGAGTTTCTCTTCTTCACCACAAAACAGAGGAGCATGTTCAGTGGCAGACTTCTGTCACTGTCACGTTCCACAGACAGACTGAGGACGTCCTTTGTCCCCAGGCCATTCAACTCTTTAACACCTCACTAAAGGTGAGAGGGGTCCCTCAGTAACTCTCAGTGGACTCTTAATACACACATTACACACATATTACACACCACCCCCGCACACACATCACTTAAACACATAGATACACACACACACACACCAATCACGCCGATCATAACACCACTGCACAACCCCTAGCCACGGTTGCATCTCTGCACCTTTTGGTAATATCTTGCACTGGCAATATTTCACCTTTGTACTTATCTTGTATTTACTCTCCAGTTTCTTTCGAGTTATTGCCCTGTTATGAAACCTCGCCCTGCTATATATTCTTTATACCCTTTGAGTTTAGTGCTTATATTCTGTACCTTGATCCATGCTCACTTTATCTATCTATCTAGAAGTTCTCAACTTCCTGTTGACATTATGTTTGACTTAACAACAAATTACCAGAGCCCTTTTACGTTCTCAACTTAACAACAAATTACCAGAGCCCTTTTTACAGCACGTATGCAACTAGGTGCAGACAAAGAGTGCAAGAGACATACAGACTGGCATCAGAAACTGTTCAGGGAGAACAGCCAGATATTTGGTTGGTTGGAGAAAGGTGGACAGGAGAAGCTGAAATCCTATATCTTCATAAACCCTCAGGCTCCACCCACTCTGTCCAGAGACTAAATACAAATCATCTCCTTCTGAGTTTGTTCATTTTCTTCAAGTTTCATACCACCTATGTACAGGCTGCTTTTCAAAGGTAAGTTCAATTACTCTTTATGTTTTTTAAAGGTCATTTATGTTCAGTGATGATTTCCTAGTTTTTAAAAATTGTACAAAATCAACAAAAGTATATATACCATATTTAGTATTTAGGAATATGATTTTTTTTTATCTTTCCATGAGTCCATCTTATTTTTATCTTGTGTTTGTCTTTCTTGATTGTACGTAAAGTTATCAAACATCATGATATTATGTTACATTATGTTATATTATGTTATATTATGTTACATTATGTTACATTATGTTACATTAGACGACATTATCTTACATTACGTTACATTTACAGCCACAAATGGGCTTTGGAATTTTTTTTTTCTGCCTCATTTATTACTGTATTTATATCAATGACTAAAGTTCACCTCAATTTGTGAGATATAACTAAGCTCCTTTTTATAGAAAATGTGAACTTTTGGTTAATTATCTGATCTTACTTACAAAATGCTAAATGCCCACCCTTCTCCTTAGTTTTTTCTTTCTTTTTTTGCTTTCTCCCCTTTTAACTGAAGTTTAAGTTTTTTTTGACCACAGTCCTTGTGATGGGGAGAGAAAACTTGAAGAAAACTTTACTTTTAACAGTCATCATTGTCTGTGTGCTTCTACTTGATAGAACCTATAGGTAAGTGGTGAGTGACTAGGCACACATTACGTTTTGTCTTAATAAGAAGTAATATTGAATATAGATCATCATGTAAAGGGTTATTTTTTTCCCTCAGGATGTTGGAGCCCCTCCCCCCCAGTTGTCCTACCCTCCAATCCCAGCCTGGATCACCGTTGAGAAATAAACACACTAACATAGTATTCCTCAAGACACACAAAACATCTGGGACCACTATTCAGAACATCCTGTTCCGCTTTGCCGACCACCACAACTTGACAGTGGCCTTACCCAAACAAAATTATGTCAACCTGTTCGGCTATCCCAGGTCTTTCAGCAATCAATTTGTTCACCCACATACACTTCCTGCAAATATCATCTGCAACGTCTTGCGCTTCAACAAGACGGAGCTGCAGCGTCTGATGCCCAGAGATGCCATTTATGTCACGATAATGAGAGAGCCTGGTGCCATGTTTGAATCTTCTTTCAGTTTCTTCAATCTTCTCTGTGAGAGCTTCAGTCAGGTACCTGATGGTTCCATCAAAACCTTTTTGGAGGAACCCCAGCGTTACTACAAACCCGATGAACCAAACTCTATGTTTGCACACAATTTAATGACCTTCGATCTAGGTGGAGACCACAATCATCCAGCAACAGATGTGGCCTACGCCCATGCCTTTGTGGCAGAGATGGAGCAAATCTATTCTCTAGTGATGATCTCAGAGTATTTTGATGAGTCCTTAATTCTCCTTCGCCATCTTCTCTCCTGGGATCTGGACGACATTTTGTATCTTGAACTAAACATGCGCACCGCAAGCTCAAAGCAAAGCCTGACACTGGGTCTTAATGAGAAGATTCGTGCCTGGAATTCACTAGATGCACATCTGTATGACCACTTCAATACCTCATTGTGGCGAAAGCTGAATGCTCTGGATCCACTCTGTCTGGAAAAGGAGCTAGAACTCTTTAGGAGGGCACGAGAGAAGCTGATGATGACTTGCTTCGGTGTGCAGAAGCCGCGTCTTCTCTCCCCGGAAGAAATCAAAAACGCTGATCTTCGTCCTTGGCAGCCTAATAAAAAAACTGTTATCAAGGGCTATGATTTACCAAAAGAGCTCCCTGAATCAACAAGGAAATACTGCCTGAAATTCACCATGCCAGAGATCCAGTACACAAACCGCCTCTTACACTTAGAGTCCCTGCGCCATCAGCAAAGAAATAGCAACACTCTGCCATGATAGGCTTTTGCAAAATGATATTGTGTGCAATTAATCAACAGAAAAACTATATATAACTACTATTAAATGCTATCTATTAAATGCCATAAATACTGTAATTGGGATACATTTTTTTGCCAACATCACCCAACCCTGAGGGCAATAGAATATTCGCTTCTTTGTTATAGTAAAAATTCAAAGGTGGATCCAACATTAATATATTTTAATATAAAACCTGTTTTCTTTTGGTGTCGGATCAGTGTTTTAAAGGTGGTGAATTTGTGACTTGTTTATTTTTTAAAAATTCCAGAAGAAGTTCGAAGATGAAAGAAATTGTATTTAGGTTAAACACAACCTAAAACATGTAAGGATACATTTTTCTTTTATTTAATGACATAACAAATTCTGTCCTGTGTATTAACTCAATAATACAATAAGACATGTGTAATGATTTAGAAATGTGTTAATCCTTAATTCATTAAAGTATCAGTATTGGTGTTGGTATCTGCAGTACTGTAACATTTCTGTCCCGGTGTCACCACCACCTGCCTGTTGAGTTACTGCAGTATATACAGCCGACTGAACGGTTGATCTGATATTGCAGGTGGTTGCTGATAGTACCACATTTTTGCATGAGTTTGCATACATATTAGGCAGTATATGTAAATATTTGGGTTGAAATCATAATGATTTGTGATACAAATGAGAAATTTCACACAAACAAACCAAGGTTTACCAGTGTGAGTTGGACTTTATTTGAAGGTGTGGCTCATACAGGATGCAGCTTCATTTTTACTGAACATATATTACTCTAGTTAATCTCTGAGTGTGTGAAATGCATACACCAAGGCAGCAGTTTCTCAGGCAGCTTCCGCCTTTTTCAAAAAAAAAAAAAAAATAGGATCAAGGTCAGGGTTCCAGACTAAAAACCAGTAACCTGGTTTGTCATGCAGTATCATTTTGTTTATATTTAATTTAATATAAAAAATTTTTGTTTTTTTTTTTCTTTTGGCAATTTACATAAAAAAATATATTAAATAAAAACCATGTGAACATTCACAAGTTGCATTAGTGATCTTAGTTCTCACATTTGCTCTCAGTACGTACGTCAGTAAGACATACTGCACTGTGTCTGTCACTGTTAGAGGAAACCTGTGCTCGATGTACTCTTACATCCTGCATCATATTTTCACTCATTTCCAGTGCCAGTCATTTGTATGTCCTAGACCTTGACCAGAGTTTATGCTCTGGTTTTTGTTTATCGTTGCTATTGTAATTTTTTTTTTTGCAAGAGATGGCAGCATCACCCTCTCCAGCAGATGGCGCCCTGGCCGGCTGCCTATGTGGCCTGTGAAAAGAGCCGGCTCTGCTCACTGCCATAGTCAGACTAGTTGCCCTTTTGGCCACCTTTCCGAGCTGGAAGAAATAGTACAGGCTTATAAGCACTGCAGAAAAACTTCTGGATAATGAATGAAACAATTTGGGCTCGGGCTAATTGATTATGTTGCCATGGAGACCGTTTTAACTGCTGTGTGTCTTTCAGGAGTCTTTGCTCTGACACCATGGCAAAAATTGTTTTTAGATTTTAGTTTTTCTTTGTTAGAACAACCGGAACTACTATTATCACTAGAATGACACACAGAGAAAAGACGATAACAAGGAGGATTTTACAGAGTTTTTTTCTTTTAAGTTCGGCTTCCTCCTTTTTTAGTAACGAGTCATATCCTGGGGTGTAGAGGTCCTCCAGCCAGAAGTCCAGTTCTCTGGGGGTCTTCTCTTCCTCCTGTTAGAAAAATATATGTTACTGCGAAGCCTCGTGTCTTTTTTTATTATTATTATTTTTTATCGTTAGTCATTATTGGCACTCTATATTGCCATGTGCAATCTCAGCACTAGATGTCACTAGATCCTCATTCCTAGCTACCCAGGCACACAGTTACCTTTAAATAATCACCAAGATTCCCGTTGACTGTTTGTGTGTCGTACTCCTTCACAGTCCATGAAGGTTTGAACTTGTCATTGTCCTCTGTGTCTATTGTCCTTATGTCCAGGTACAATGGGTTCCTTTTAATGTTGGACTGCAGTGTGACTGGAGTGATGTGCTTTTCCAGGTATCTGTCCACAAACACCACACTCTCTGAGGAAGGAGGACGCCTGGTGTCTGTCCTCATCCCGTGCTCCCTCTGTGGGGACAATAAAGACACTTCAGCTGTCTACATGTCCAGGTGTGAACCACTGCCACCTTCAGGACAGACACATGAGTTAGTCTGTTGTGGTTTACTTCATAAAGGGACAGTCCTGGGGTTTTTGTGGCGTGGTATTTAGAACACCGTTGAAGTACTGCACTCCACATGTCAGCATTGTTGGAAACCCAGGAGGTTAGCCCTTCATCATCATTGCTTGGCTTGTAGCAAATAGACTTTGTTCCAGTTGAGTAGCAAACTCAAGTCTGTGAAATATTCAGTCTAATACACCAAAGTATATAGACAAAGAACAATTGTACATCATGGTGCAATAAAATATTCATTCTACTGCTGCATAAATAATCCTAGTAATAACAGAAGCAGACGTTAAACACGTTATTACCAAGACTGTAACGTAGCTGAGTCAACAGTGTGTTTACCTGGGAGTAGACTCTGTTCTGCCAGTGTCTTTGACTGGACATGGCTGCCCCCACCTGAATCATGCCGTGTCCTGTGGTCAGTGTGTTGACGTCCAGCTGGAGGAACTTGTCTGGATGGTTGTTGTTGGGTAAAACAGAGATGTCCATCCTGACTGCCCTGCTGTTCCCCTCTGACTCTGACTGCTGCACGCTGTCTACAACATGAGGACTCTGTAATAATTCATGAGCAGCAGGATATACATGAGCCTGTATCAGTGGCAGGCGTGTGTAACTCAACCCAGGCGTTTGAAGCCTCGAGCAGGAACGTGTGAGAGACAGAGAGAAAGAAAGAAAGATTGACATAAGAGAAAACAAGGAGGGAGAAGTCAGAGGTTGAAGTAGTACTCCAGGTCCAGTACCACACTGGAGGCAACTCAGTACCACATTATATACACCACTGTTGGTTACAAATGAATCATATACTGAGGTACAACGCCGAGGTAAACCTGGTGAACGGCTCATAATTTTAAAGATCTCATCAGACGCTCACGCAGGACAGAGACACTGAGGCCGGGCATTAGGAAAGACGTGTTCAGGTGAACATGGTGTTGAAACTTATGATCATCTTTGATTTTCCCCAACAACCATCTTTTAATGTTTGAATATTTGATCAATTAATTACCAGCCAGCAGCTGTTTTCCGGACAATCCCACGTGGACAATGACATGTTTGAAGTAGGATACAACTCCGATACTGCAACTTGGAGTATCTGGCGATACCAATATCACTCCGATACCTTTCGATACCTACCTGCTACAGCATTCTGTTGTTGCTGAGGTGATAGTGTCCCTGTTTACAGCATGTCGCGCAAAGTAATGTTGAAAATTTGGGCTCAGGTATCATTGTAGACCATAGTTGTTGTTTTTTCATCGTTTGTTTGATCCTGAAATTCATCAGATCCAACCATCCTTAGTTTGACATTTATGCTTCATTCAAACACACATCCTCAGACCCAAATTGCACAGCTTTCGACCACAACTAGCTGCGTAGCAGTCAGTGTTGTGTGTTGTCCTCCTGCAGTTTGGAGATATTTTCACATCAGGGACCCTGACGTGATACAGTCTGACTGTAAGATGAATTCTGTTACGAAACAAGACGCGCCTTAAGTCATTTACAAAACGCCTTGTTGTTGCTTTTTCACACTAATTTTTTTTTTCTTAAAATTAAAAAATAAAAAGAGATGGGAGAAGTTGTAAGACAAAAAGTATGTGCACAATGTAGGTTTGTACATGTCTGACAGTACATGTGACCAATATCAGCCGACTGTTTGATAGTGTGGTCTATCTGTAAAAACATTTACTTTCAAATCATAAGAACCAGAGATTTGGACGATTTTTCAAAACCATCCAGATTTCAAGGTCAACCTGGAAAATATGAAAAAGAAGTGTGTCATAGTCCACTGTATGGTATCCTGTCTTATTTTTGTGTTTCTAGATTCTCTCTCCGGACAACTTCAAAGAGCCTTTTCAAGCTGTATTTTCATGATCTGGTCTGTATATACAGTGAATGTGTGCAGTTTCTTACATTTGTTTGTATTTGTCATTTATTCTTGGTCTTCTTTTGCCTAATCCTATTGTGTGTCACTACAGGGAGGGAGCTGGAGTCATCCCAGCAGTCAGTAGACAAGGTCAGGGTCGAACCCTAAAGGTCAAGTGTGGTAACCACATCTTCCAGAGTGTGAACTATTGGTGATTTGTAGCTTTTAATTTACAACTGGGTGGGCCCACTTGGCCCGGGGCGGCAAACACGCCAGGACCGCCACTGCTGGAGCAAGGCGTGATAGAAAGTCACTACTGATTCTGAAAAAACAGACAAATGAATAAAAAGGAAAACGCTTTAAAGCATGAGAGAAAGAGGGAGAGGCGGTTGCAGCCTCAGCCTCAGCAGCATCAGCAGCATCAGCAGCATGGTTTGCGCCATCGCAGGAGCAACGTTAGGAGGGAGGAGGAGAAGAGAGGAGAAGGCGGCTGTGTGACCAATAAGACGGATATTCCAGTTGTAGCTTGTGCACATGCCCGATGTCGTCATAGGGGAAACCACTGCCGTGCTGCCTCACAGCGCAGCCTTCACTAAAATGGATGAGCGCAGGTTGGAGGTCCGGACCGATGCGGTAAGAGCTTTTCACACGCACCGCACACGCGACGCGATACAACGATGCATCTCCAAACATTTGCACTTGAACACACCGCCAACACCGGCCGGGCTCGGCTGTTATTTGCTCACATGTCGGTGCTGGGTGTCAGTGGGTGCACACAGATTGAAGATTGCAGCGGTGCCGTGCAGCGCGACGATTGACTTTCTACCAGAAATCTGGGCTGAGGATACATGTACACGCACGGACGCAGCCAAAGCGTGTCCGTGTCCGTGTCCGTGTCACCCTCTCTCCCCTGGTTCGCACTCCCTCCCCCCTCTCTCCCACTTTCACTCTAATGTGTCCCCGTCGTCGTCGAGCACTGACATCATCCTGGTGAGCTGTGCCTCCAGCAGCTTCAGCAGCTCTAGTACTATCTGCTAGCTCAGCGCGTCAATGCGACGTTTTTTAGGCCTTGATGCGTTTTTACTGCGACTCGAGTGCATGTGGACGTACAGTACTAGTCACAGTACTGTTTGCCTGTTGCTGCAGAGGCTTCACATGATTTGCTCTCATTTCCTCCGTGTGCACGGATACAGTAATAGGTACAGTAATACTTCATCCACACCGGTGCAGTACAGATAGTAGGGAGTAATGCATGTCAGAAAAAAATAAATATAAACATATATATTTAAGTACATTTTTAAATATTCTACTTAGTCCTTTTCAGGGTTGAGGGTACCTCAAGCCAATCCCAGCAGTCGGTGATGGTGGTGGGAAGGGGGGAGGGGGGGGGTGTGCAAGGGGGGGGGGGGGCACCCTTAACAGTACATCTTGTGACCAGTCGTACTTGTGTTCAAACCAGTGTTTAATTTGGAGTGAATGTACCCAGCCTGCATGTCTTAAGGATTAAACCTGTCTGTGATTGTATGTATTTGTTGTAGGTGAATTGACCACTCTTTACTATCTGCTGATTATGGTATGAATGATGATGGAGTGCCATCCCATACATCACACGTTATTGTTGCTGAATGTTCCGGTTACAGTCGAGTTCTGCCACGGGAAATCATAGTGAACTTTTTTGGATTACATAATAGTCATAACTGGTCAATTCTGAGGTTCATGGTGACAAGGTGGGTATTGCTGACTCGTAGAAAACAACGGGTCTTTCTGTGTTGAGGTCAAATGTACTGCCTGACTTTGGTTTCCTCCTACAAACATCCACTTTGGGTTTAACTTACACTCCATGTCACAAAAACAGATGTAATAGTGAATTGTTTTTCACTATTACATCTGTGTCACTGGAATAGAATGACATCATCTCCATGGTGAATCTGCCTTCGCTCGATGTCACCTGGGATTGGCTCCAGCCCCCCCACCTCCACCCCCCACCCACCCGAGGATTATGTGGTACATTATAGATGGACAGACACATGGGTTGGTGGATGGATGGATATAGGAGTGGATGTGCCAGTCATTTGGTTCCTGTATCCGACTTTCATTACATTTCATAATTTCAACAGTCAATCTTACTTCAATCCTACTTTTCACAGTCAGGTGGTGGGAAGCCGTATACTTGAATTTCTCTTTAATATCTTTATATCGCACAACAAAATAATACGGCGCAGTACAAACTCTACTACTGTAGGAGTATTGTGTGCATATTCATATTTGTCTATTTACAATATATAATTGAAAAACAATAGCTTCACAGTGTGCATCTTTGCAACCCACACCACAGGTGGCGCTATTAAGTATGTGGTTCCTGTGGGGCTCAAACCTCGGTCCTTTTGTGTTTGAGGCAGACGTGTGATAACAGCTACACCATGGAACCACCACAGGTGTAGTTAACAGACACACTGAACTTACTGAGTCTGATACGATGTGATGTTAAACCCAGTGATTATTACTGTGTGCTTCGTCTCAGAAACGATTGTACAAAACAACACAAACTGAATATAACAGTTAGCAATAGATTGTGTTGGTCCGAGTGTAGATTTAAAAGTACCGGTAATATTTCACAGTGTATTTTCTGGAAAGGAACTATAAGAATCTGTTTATTTGACTTCATCTAGTCTTGGTCTTGGCTTTTGTCAATGATATAAAGTAGAGTTGGAAAGCTTCCTAGAAACTGGTGCAGTTTCAGACTTATTACCTAATTGCACTAGACAGAAAGGGTAAATCACCTGCAGTGACATGGTAATGGGCAGTAAGTGCTGGCACAGTTTGATGCTTAATCTGGAGTTTTTTACTTTTGGAAGTGAAAGCTTTTATTCCAGGTCTCACTCATAATTCCCACCTCTGATATACATTTTTGACCATATTGACTGTAAATTTATGCCGTTCCCATATCTGTGCAGCAGCTACGTAATCACACATCACTGTTATGATCATTGAGGAAAGTCCAGTTGATTGCAGTGCTCCGTTGTTGTAGGAACAACTTACAGTTGTCACACAAGACGATGTAAGCGTAAAATTTACGACCTCCATCAGGAAGGTCAGCAGTTTGACCTCTTTACCTAAGAGCTGCCTCTGATTTCTGTTTTTTGGCCTTTATACTCACATACTAGGATTCTTATCAAATCTATATATTTTTTTAAAAATCCCTAGTTTTTCTGAAGGTCACAGAAAATCCTTGGCCGTGTGAACATCAGCAAATCTTCTCACTTCTCTTTTTTTTTTTCTTGTTGTTTTCTTTCTGTAGTAAGAGAATGAAATGTCCTCTTGGCGAAATATTACCGGTGTAAAATAGATCCAGTAGGTGGCAGTATTAGTAGCTCACAGTTTCAGATTTGCCAGTAAAACCCCCCAAATAAGTTAGGTCCCTTGTTCTTGGAGCTAGCAGATGCTATTTTGTAGTTTGTCTGCAAGGCTGTGTGTTTATGTACTGCAGAAACACTAATGGACCTGAATGTAATTCTGTTTTCTCGTGGATTAAATCTATATAGAACATTTTGTTCCATTACACTTAAATGACGTTACAGGGATTTCAAATAAGAGCTTAGCTCTGATGACAGCCCAGGTAAGGGAAACCACTCATTATTGACAAGAGTTACAGGAAACGCTGTGTCAGCATTGTCATTGCATGGACCAGGACAATAGAACGCCTCCTACAAGGGAAGCATGGCCACAAAATTCAAATAGAATGAAGTTAAATGGTGCAAACAAATATAAGTCGATTTGTTCATTTATGTGCGATATCAGGAGCCTAATACAGGGGTGCCTGCTTTACGACGTCCTCGACCTACCGTGTGATCGCCTGGCTATAAATTCATTAAGTCTTGTTTATTCATTCTGATGAGGAACATGGCTCGGTTTACGTTTCCCGCTGAGACGCCATAGAATTGTAGAGGACAATAAAGAATTCAACAGAACCCTTTCCGTGTGTTTGTTACTGTTCGCTGTGACGAACCCGTACGTAAAAGCAATAGTTTCTTAACCAACAAGTTTAATTGTTTCTACATATTTTGCGAAATGTCATATGGAATTGAATGCAAGTACTGACTTATGGTAAAAAATTGAGTTACATCACCAATAGGAATCAAACCCCCGACGTAGGTCGAGGAGCCTCTGTATGTGACGAGGCAGTTACAATGATACCATTATTATACCGTATGATACCAAATCAGTTTTAAAGCTCTATCACGCTGTGACCTCAGTGTCATCAGTCGGTCTTCTGTAGGTGATATGGTTGAACTGAAGCAGAAGCGAAGTCTCTGGATCAAACCTCAACTCACCATGTAATTCTATGGTCCCAGGGCACTGCTCTGTTCAAGGCCAGTATTCTTTGCTCCATATTAGCAGGATGGCCATACAAAACCTGTCACTCTAGTGCAGGAGGTGATAGTTTGTTATAGAAGAGACAGAGGACTGGTGAAAAACTGCAGCCAATCAAAATTCGACACGAGTGACTGTCAGAATGGACGTATGCTGCTCTCACTTCTTATCCAGATCAAAGTCATGAAAGTGTCTCCACAAATATGTCTGCATCTTTAGGTGTTTGTGTTTGTGTGTGTGTGAGTGTGTGTGTGTGCTGAGTCAGGAGGGAACAAATGAATGAATATAATTATGATTTATAACAGGTGCATTTTCCTGTTTGCATTTGCGGTAAATTGTGCTTGACAGGTTAATTATTTATGATGATATATTTATGATATAAATATTCCAGGAGGCGGAACATTTCTCAGTCCTAGCCAATCAAAGACAGTCAGTTTTCTCCCCTTTTTTCACCAGTAGTCTGTCAACAGTCAACACTGATGTTTGACTTTAATACAGAAGAGATGTAAACGACTGTAGTAGGGAGCTTGTCACAGCCTATCCTGCTGGCGTCCCATCTCACCCACAGGTTCCAACAGCTGCAGCCGATCCTCCTGTCAGTAGTTAAGAGTTTCTCCACTCCAGCTCTGCCTGTTTTCTCCCTCATCTTCTTTGCCTGCCGTTGGCCTGATGCCTTGCCGCTGCCCTTTTAAGCCTGTCTGCGTTCAGTCTACAGGACTTTCTCTGCATTCACCCCAGCTTCTGCCAGCGTGTCCCCACAGCTCTGCTGAAGTTGGAAAAAGGCAAACAGTTCTATTGGTACTTGCAAATATCTTGACTCTAGGCAAACTTAATACACACTGAGAGGCCGACTGAAAAAGATTTTAGTATCAGTTTTTATTTTGATTAGTGCAAATTTTAAATTTTGAAACAAGAAAGCTGTCATCAGGTAAACGTCCGTCTCTGCGTGAACTGTGTACGAATTATAAAAGTTATACAATATTCTACGAAAACAAGAAATTGAAAAACCAGATTGAGACACTTACTCACACCAGGGCTGTTGTACCACGCCCAGGTGCGATGGTGTTGCTACTACACCGCAGTTGGAAGTGGCGGGCCAAAATATGAAACATGGGGCCAAACTTGTGCACATGCGCGGTTAAGAACATCTTCTGCTGATTCAGCAAATATCTGCGAATCGCCGCCTGAAGCGGTCAATAAATGTCAATAAAACGTTGATGAGGGCTGATAGTTGACAAAGCAGCTGTGACTGTCTGTGTGTGTCTGTGTGTGTCTGTGTGTGTGGATATTCTGCTCCATCATGTCTCAGCAGCTCACAGTAATGGTGACATGGTGTTGATCAGAGGGCTGACAGTTTTGAAGATCGCTGTTGAACCCGTTGTTGTCAGAGTCGCTCTCGATTGCCTTTGGGGTTTGAGCGGATGAAATAAAAAAAAAGTAAATATTATTTTATGGTGTGTAGTAGTCTCCACATACAGCACGTTAACTGCCATTCTGTTACATGCATTTAATCAGTACCCCAACATATAATACATCTAAAGTATATTTGGTTTAAATGAGTAAATATATGTTTTATGTTTGCGTTGTAGTGTTGGCAGATATCTGTAGCTTTGTTCATTTGAACAGTAGCTCCCGAGCCCAAAACTGTGGGCACTGGTATATCAAGTAACACATTATATTTACATTTAAAAAATAATTGACTTAAAGACAGAACCTAAATATATAAACAATCTAATTACGAGAAGAATTAAAACAAACAACTTAATTATCAGACTGAGTGATAAAAAAAACGAACAAGTCCGTTTTTGCTGCCTCCCTAAATGACTATTTAAATATGGCCATATGAAAAATAAGATTCCAACTAACAGGAAGAAAAGTGTGTGTGTGTTTGTGTGTGTGTACTGTTTAAATCAGCCGCTAGAGTTCAGGGTGGATGTGGGGGCAGGGTAATTCCAGTGAGGGTGGATAAATCTTCCAGGGTGTTCACTGCCAATGGTGCAGTATTGCAGTGCACAGAGTCACTCAGAGAGCTCAGTGTACCATAAAAGCTAAGCCAGTGCTCACTGTGCTCGCTGACCATAAGTAACTCCAGCACTACACATTCATTTGATAGTGGCATTTATTGCACTGAGGAGTTATTCACTTTCTCCAAGGACTCATTCAGTTTAAAAGGCAAACTTATTTTCACCTTGAATAGGATCGTGCAAGGTTTGGACATTATTATCTGACTCAATGCTGTGACATCGGTCGTAGCAGGATGGGGTCGCCGTAGAGCTGCTGGTTTATTTGCAGTTGTCATTGTTAAAACATTTAAAAGGACTAGAATAAAAGGACAGTTCTGTTCTTAGAAGACTAGAAGACTAGACTAGAATAAAAGGACAGTTCTGTTCTTTTCCTATGTGAAAGTTCGTGACCCTCTACTGCCACCATCCTTAAGTTAAAATGTATTATTTTGAATTGTTTTGACTGAAAACAAATACATCCTCAACACAGGGTCTGGGACGAAAACAAAATGTTATATTGTCTGACAAATTATTGCCGATAAACAACCTTATTGTCAACATTATTTTGCGACCAAATGAATCACTGTTGTAATGATAACATGTTATAATAATTCAAAAAACATTTTCAAAGTGCAATACATCTTTATTTCTCAGTTTATATCAGTATTTTATTTTTTTTACAGGTCTCTAAATGCCCCTTGTTACAGACACACCACTGAACGGCCCTTGTAAACACTGGTCTGTTTGTATTTACTTTGTCGACCAAACACCTCAGTGAGCGGTGACTGTCGGAACAGGACTGTCGAGGTCGGCCGAATTATCGAGTTTATTTTCATTTATCGTACGGTTAATTAATGTATTGATTACCGTCCCAGGATTACTGAACACCACAACACGTTTTAAAAAAAGAAGCTCTGATTTTCTGTCTTTTGGCTTCTGTCTGTAGGGTTGAATGCAAACATTTTTGTTCAGGGAGAATATATGCAAGCCTACTTACAGCCTACAGCCTACTTAGCTGGTTTAATAAGGACTGTTTTTGCTTTGAATTGTTTTTGCTCTGTGGAAGAACGTTGGAGTACAATGAGAAGAGGAACACACTAACTCTACAGAAATACTCATCAGCTAGAGCAGTGATTTTCTGTGTTTTCACACACACACTCACCTACCCACCCCCCTCCCTCCCTCCCTCACCCACAACCCTGTGAATTGAAATACTGTTGAGAACCTGATATCTGTACAAACCACTTTATGCTGCCACCTAGTGACTGGAGGCATGTTATCATTCATTCATTACAGCAGTGGTACACTTATGTCCAGCATGCCATATTCCATTGGAAGCCCCTCAACCCCCCCATGGCAACCCCCCGACCCCCAGTGGGGCCCGCCCCACTATTTGAGAAGTACTGTGCTAGAGGGACTTGAACCAGTGCTCTTGTTGTCAGACCTTTATCTGGTACATGAATTAAAACGAAGCGAAACAAGCCCCCGTTCTTACCTCTACTCCGTTTCAGTAATACCAACGAAGTAGCCAGAAAGATTTTATTTAATTAAATGGCCCTGGAAATGATCCACACTTTTCCTGGAACATCCTGTAGCACAGGTAAATAAAAAGGCAATCTAATCTACACAGGGAGTATATTCAATTTAATACAATTGGCACGACTATATGTTTCACAGTGTACTTCTGTACATTACACATTCTCATCGCAGATTAAAACCATGAGCAAAATATAGGTTTAGTCATATAAAACAGTCAGCTCGAATAACATAAATTTAGCAGAATATATTTTTGATTGATGCAAATTTAAATGCAACAAAACAGACACATTTGTTTATGTTTTAAAAACAAAATCTCAAATCTCGTCGATACAGGGGTGACGACTAGTGAGCGAAGCATTGACGTTTTTGTAAAGAAGTCCAAGGTCGCAGTAGAACGGTACAGAACATAGGCCCAGGACAGTTACTACACAGGTGTCAGACAGCTGGACTACATACAGTAGACCTATAGTTGCCGCCTCTCTATAATGGAGGGAGCATGAAAGAAATGATTAACTTTGTTCAACATCTTAATGTTGTCTGTTTTTAAGGCTAATGCCCTCAACTCTTAGCTCACTGCATTGAGAAGTAGTTTCTTAGTGCCAGGTAGGACGGCACTCCTTAAAGCCACAGCTGCTTATTGCTAGGTATTGAGAGGAACTCTCAGTAACCACAGCCTTTCTCTCTCCTTCCATTCTGCTCTCAGGGTAAGGGCAGTTTAGCCGAGGGTCATGGGAATCAACTAATGTAATTTGTAGCATTAATGGATTAAGTAAAAACACACACTTAGTTTTCTATAGTTTTCTATAAGAGAAAATAAATGAAAAGCGTTGCTTGTTCTTAATATAACTGCTGTTTTTTCTTAAATACAGATTTATTTATAACTGAGCAGGCGTTTGATGCTGTTGCTACAAAAAAAAAACAAAAAAAAGAAGAAGTCTTTAAGGGAGAAAAACAGATACCAGAATACTTTCTTCTATCACTGCATCCCAGTGTAACCTTAGGATGATTAAACGTCTTTCAGGACCCGCTGACGAGTGAATGTCCCCCATGTCTGATTGTGTTTTAGGTAAAATTAGATCACACAGAGCCTCTACTTCTCTCTACACAGAAAAACATTTCAGGTCTCATATGAAGGCTCATACTATTTTTATATTTATTTTTAATTCAGAACAACATTTTCCCCTGCGATGATAGTACCCAGCAGCGCTGCTAAACTGTGGTTTGTTGTGGGTTTTAACCTGGAAACTAACCACGGAGAAGTTGTACTAGGAGTGGACTCCTGCTACTTCTTAGACATGTTTTTGTACAATATTGAGTTCAGAGGGTGTGAGTAGGATTTGCCTAATCGTAGCCTTTGTAAAATGTGATTCTGTTTGCCAATTATTATATATTTAGCACCATTGAACCTACAATATTTCATAACTTAAATGAATCTTTTTTTTATCTCTTCAGGAAACATCAACATTCAAGCAACTTGATGGCGAAAACTAGAGGATCCCTTTTAAGATGACACGCACAGACCCACCTAACATACTAGCTTCAACTGTGCATCGAGACATAAAAGTGATTCCCATTTGTACACACTACAAGTTCCTGCAACCCTCCGAACAATGTGATTTTATAAATTCCAACACACTGGAGGACAGTAAGAGCAAAGTCAATAAGAGGCACTGCCATACCTTTGACTATAGGTCACTGGAATATCCAAGATCACACCAATACACAATGGAGTCCCCATACAGAAAGGCAGAAAGGCATGCAGCCAACCCAGATGTAGCCTGGAATGCCCTGGGCCGCCAACAGAAATATCGCTTTTCTGCTCCAGACATTTTTAGTCATAGGTTAGCTTCTCAAACAATGGCTGCTGACATGGCCAGTGAGGTAGTTGTCCATGAACACAAAAGAAGGACACGGTCCAAAAGTGCTACTCGGGCCCAAGCCAGTCTCACCCCTGTGTCTTTCGAAGGATACACGGCCTCGGAGAGGAAGGGAAGGGAGTTCCACAGGGCTACAAGAGACAGCCACGGAAGGCCAGAGGTATCGCCACGCAGGGAACCGACATATGCAGCTCGGGCTCATATGCATGAAGTGCATCCTATCAAGTTGCAGCCTCAGATGGGGGAAAGCAGTAGATATTCGACTCACTATGCTGCTGATAGTGCCGAGGATGGAGGGATCGATAAACCAGCAACTTCTCCTCATGTCAGATGTCGGGTGGATATCAAACCAGATGATGCAGCAATACATCATTCAGGAAAAAAACAGTCTACGCCACAGGTGGACATACCGTGGCAGAGGCACCACAGTGGAGGCAGTAGGAGTCTAACTGTACCACGTCATTTCTCCTACTCAAGAACACCAACACCCACTGACTCATTAGGTACCGAGAGTAGACAAGCATATCAATATTCCCGTAGCATGCCAAATAGTTACTTACAACCTGTTGACCTTTCCACCTCACAAAGAATGCCTCCGTCAGGTGATTACTATGGAAGAGAGAGAAGAGCTCACTCCAGTCCTAATGTGCCAACAAAGTTCTTTTATGCCGACACCCCAGCTAGATATGTTACCACTGTTCCTCCTCAACCAAGCTCTTACTACCACGATGAACGTTACACGCCAGGACAAGCGTACTCTCCGAAAGTGCAGTATGTGCAAGATCCCAGGATTCGAATGGTGCATGCGGTGGCTTCACGACCCTACTACCCTGAGATGGAGTCCTATTCCTACTCAATGCAAGCCGGATATCCCAAATCCTATACAGCTAATGAGCCGGGGCCATACATTATACAGACCCCTCCTTCTAGAACGTTTTATGGCGAGGATCCAAGGTCTTATCAAATCCAGACTGCTCCACCAAGGTTTTATTATCCTAGTGACATGTACGCAATGCCACCTGAGCACCACGTTCCATCTAGGGCATACTACACAGAGGGTCGGAGACATGCCAGAGTTGTTCAAGCGCCGACAGATGATTGGTATGGCTCGGATGCGTCTGGTTACTCCACTAATCCTGCCTCCTACGTGTCACAAGTCACTCCAACCAGAGTCCGACAAGAGCCCGTGTTGACATCTTGGTATGCTAACCCTTGTGTAGAACCTCAGAAAATTGGCAATGATTCAAAATCACATTCTAGATCATGGGACAACATTCTTAACTATCATGTAGAGAAGGAACAACCTCTTCCTGTGCAACGACGACAAAGCTATGATGATATTCTTGACTCCAGGAAGCCTTCCGCAGCTCTGGGTGACAAACCAGTGGTTGTCAACCTCTCCAGCTCACCTAGACGCTATGCGGCCTTGTCAATGTCAAGTAACTCACTAATTGACAAAAGCCCTACAGAAGTGTCGAAGGGCAGTACCAGTAAGCTCTGGTTCGTCACACCTGAAATAACAATCACTGATAACGACATTCAGTCGGGAAACCTCAAGATGGCTGAAGGCCGGTCCGCCAGTTGGGACGTTCTTGACTCAAGGAGTGCTAAAGTTCCAGACCTATCTCAGTGTGACATTGAAAGCTCAACCAAAGAGAAGACACATGACAATGCCTCATTGCAGCAAAGCCTAGAACAACTTGATGAGCTTCTGGCAGACCTTGTCACAGACTACAAGCCGCCTAGCAGAAGGGCCAGTGAAGACATTTTGGATCAGTTGAAAAAGTTAATTGACGAGGAAGAAGCAGTATCCTTGGCCAGAAAAAGCTCAAAGGTCGGGGCAGAGGAACAACTACCTCTAGACAAGCAGCCAACCTCCATTAGAATGAATCCTGATGCTTTTCGAGATATGGACGGGGCGAGTGACGCAATGAAGAGCGCTGATGAATGCTCCCCAGATCAGAGCCCGGATGAGGATGACACGATGATGTGCTCCAACTACAAATGTCAGAGAACAGAAACACTTTTCAATGCGTGCTTATATTTTAAATCCTGCCACAGCTGCTACACGTACTACTGTTCCCGTAACTGTCGTAGAGAGGACTGGGACATCCATAAGGAAAGCTGCTTGTATGGCCGAATTGGCAGTACATGCCGTCACATCATCAAACATTGTAGAGAGACAGTTGAAGTCCACAAAGCCTTCTCCCGCATTGCCAAAGTTGGCTACCTTTCCCGTGGAAGAGGAGTTCTCTTCCTTGGTTTTCCAAATCCTGCAGCGTCCAGTAATTTCTTACAGTATGGACTGGACAGTCTGCAAATGTCTCCCACGTATCTGTCCCTCCGGGAGCTCGAGTGCTTCAAAGACAACCTGGGAGAGTACTGCAAAGAGCTGCAGCAGGCTGGCAAAGAGTACGACCCCAATGAATGCTTCATCTTGAATGTATCAATTGCTGTTGGTGAGCAATTACCTGATGGGCCTTCACCGAGGAACCAAGCTCCTACTGTGAGAAAATATGCAAAGGTCGCCCTGGCCTCTTTTAGCCCAGAGCGCAAGGTTCACAAGAAAGAAAGTGACATGGAAACCCTGATCCTGACTCCACCACCTGGCACAGCTGATATTGATAAAGAAGGAGAGGAAGGCAGAAAGGCCAGGGAAATCTGTTTTATAAATATACAGCGAGAGCTGCGAATCCGAGGGATTTACTTACGCCACGAATACCCACAGGTATACAAGCAGCTTTGTGAGTTTGTGGAGAGTAACAAAAGGTTCACACCCACAACTATATACCCCACTGATAAAAGGACCGGTAAGCAGTTTATGTGCATGATTATGGCTGCCTCTGAGCCCAGGACATTGGACTGGGTCGACACCCCGCATCTTCTTGATGACATCATTTAAGTGCGCCTTTTGTTGTAAATATATATATGTATAGAAATACATATATATTGTTACACATATTTATATTTCAATCCAATCAGAAACACTTGTAGATAAGTATTTTGTTATTAAAATGATATATATTCATGTCTGCTTGGTCAGTATTAGTCTTTCAGAGAATAATACCTGTCAGTTGGAGAATGAGTACATCACAATTCAGTTGTTTTTTTCCTTTAGGCCCAGGTTACACTTCTGTGATCCTCAGTCTGTTGTGAGTGCTGAGACGTATTTCCATTCATTAAAATCAAGTTTTTATTTATTTCTAAAAAAACTTCATGTGTGTCTGATCGTGTCAAACACATGAACTAGTACAGTTGGAAACTTCAACTTCAAAGTTCTTTAGTCACAAAAGCTAAAGGTCTACACATAGGATTTATGTAGACTCATTCATGTGTGCAATGGTGTTTTTGTGGTACACACATACAGGAAAGTATAACTTGGGCCTTGTCAGCGTCACTTCACCTCTCTGTCCTGAGGTCATGTTCAGTTTTTTTTTCAACCCATCTCTGCTGGTAGGAAGTACCTAAGATGACATCCTGATGCTTGAGTTTTTAAATTGTTACCAACAGTTGTATGTCTTTCATAACTTAGCCTTTCTAAATGACAAAGGCGACCCCCGGAAAACTGAGTATGAATATTTTTTCATATGCAGTACACCTGTCATGGATATACTTTTCAGAAAATGTGATTACTGTTATTTTCTTAGATACGTACTTTCTATGCAAAATGTCATGATCCCTGAGTTAGTACCACATTCCTCAACAAGGTTTTTATATTATATTATATTATATTATATTATATTATATTATATTATATTATAGTCATATATTTAGCAGCAAAAGTCATCTTAAAATAAAGAAAACTAAAGAGAAGGAGATAGTTGTGCTACTCTAAACTTCTTTTAAAAAAACAGACAGTAATGTCTTACTGTTGCTTAGATAGAAACCCTATATTATGTCTGATGTTGTACTTTGAAGAGAAAAGTCTGTAGTTCTGTTATTATGCAGAGCAGGAACACAAACATTGCTGGATTTGAAAGCGACTTCAATGATAAAAATTTAAAAATGGTGCCAGTTTTCAGTCGCACTGTAGGTGTGGCCTGTACTGTTCAGTTGAAATCACTGTGAATAGTTCAAGTTATCTAAAAGAAAACATCATGCAATTTTCTATAACACTGAAGTTGTATTTTTCAATATATTTGCTAATAGTCAAACATGGATCAGCAGCAGGAGTCATTGTCCTAGGAACAAGGTGAGCCAGATTTGACACCGTAGCTGTGATGGTGCGTACATTCTTTCAAAAGGACATTTGTTGTGTGTTTGTGCTGCACTAGATCGACTGTATTACTTGTGATTTGTACTGCTCTCTCTCTTTCTCGGTTTTAACCTACGACTATTACTTTGTTCATTGAAGTTGCAGAAGATTTAGAAACGAATTAATGCAACGTAGCCGTGCTGCCTCACTCTCTCCGAAATATTAAGTACCTTTTTTTTTAAATTTTGTAGCATCTTAGTTTGTCTTACTTGAAATTAGCAGATGAAGAATTGAAGCCAACAGCCTAGGGCAGGCTTGGGCGGAACTTTTTGACCACATTGGGTCCTGAAATTTGGCAGGTGGCGGGGTCAGGAGCAGATAGATGGAATGTTCGTGTAAACTAGTACTTCTCAAATAGTGGGCAGGCCACGCTGGACATACAGTAAGTGTACTACAGCAGTGGTAATACTTGAATGCTAACAAGCCTCCAATCACTAGGTGGCAGCAACTCATACAGTGGTTTGTAGTGATCAAAATATACATGTTATCAGGTTCTCAATAGTATTTCAATTTGTGGGGTTGGGGGTCGGTCGGGCGGCGTGAAAACATTTCTGTCCCCAAGGGGGGGCATGACAGAAAATAATTGAGAATCATTGGTGTAAACTAAGATAAATGACATGTAAAAGTCATGCATAAAGACTAAAATGATTTTCTGCTTTTAGCCTTTTCTTTGCCATCTGTTGGGGAAATGTAGGAAAAAGGCAGAAGTAATGATAATGTAAATTAATAACAATTTGGACAAGTTTGGCGTGCTGCATCAGGCCCCCGGGCCATAGTTTGCCCATGCCTGACCAAGAGTTCTAACTAGAACAGGTGAATCAGTGGTTTGACAGTTGACTTTTAACAACTTAGACTTTTAACAAAATAACTTACATATACTTATTATAGTTTTAAAAAAGTTCTGTTAGGCAACTGGACATGAATTGCCAGTTGCCTAACAGAACTTTTCTTTTAAACTTGACCATGACCTGGATGACTGAGAATAGACATACTTATTATAGTTGTTGAAATCAGGCACAACTGGAAATGATTTAACCATATGGAGTGGACACAAGGGCAAATGTTACTTTCCCAGCTTTTTTTTTTGTCCAGTCAGTTCACAACAGAAACTGCCTTTTTGACACAGATGAAGGCTCAGCAGACACCGTTTCTATAATCTCTGCATTATCTGGGTCAGTTTTGATTCAAATTTTGTTCCACTTCAGGTATTTTATATAGAAACATAGTCCACTAGTGTGCTTCTACCTATTTGTAGAGTGCCAACAGGAGGAAAACTGTGGGATGACTAGGAGAACTTCGCAAAAGTCAATTATAGATTTTGCGGGAGCATACGAAAAATTTAGACGGACAATTTCAAACACTTAATATGTCCTTGAGCCCAAGACTTACATAGGCAGTGTATGTGATGACAACTAGTAAAGACCAACAGGAATCTAGTGGTAGGTGACGTTTGTGTTTTAAAAGTTCAATTAACGTATCTCAAGGTTTAAAGTTCATGCCAGCTTCGCTTATTTTGCAACTGCATTTATTTCTTATACAAGCTTTATGGTCTGACTACATTACAAGGTAATAGAAATTGTTTTATAGAGTGATCAATTTTTACTTATTCCATAAACATTCTTCCTTATCACATCAGGGTTTCCCAGTTGCCCAGAGAAAGTATATATATATAGTTATATATATACTTTTTTTTTAAACTTGAAGCACATTACTCTGTATTTGAAGATGTATTTTGGCCGATCGGGATGAGCTGTACAAAGTCAGTGAAAAGTTGCCGACTGCATGTGATTCTGTTTCCTCTGCTCTGATCACATTTAAAATGTGATCGTAATTTGCTCTTTGAATGAACTTGTGGAAGTGAAACACTACAATGCTGTGTAAGTAGAGATAAATACATTTCTCCATTATTTTCTCCTCTGTTTTAAAGAATATAACGTGTCAAAGGCAATGAAGAAAAAGACCTCACATGTTGAGAAAATCCTGTAACTTTTTTTATTTTTTATACTTTCCTCATACGTGTCTGAGTGTGTCTACTTATAAGCTATATCTAATAAATGGAATGGGAACGCATTGACCCGCGTATCAGTTGTGTCTGGTTTCATGGAGCATGGTGAATGTTAAGACTGTACAACAGGTGGTATTGTGCAGTATATGTATATGATTTGAGGCCACAGTGGTTAGTATGTCTGCCATACAGACAACAAAATGAGTTCTGATTGGATCCCTGATGCTTCTGAATTTGCGTGTACTCACAGAGTGTGCATGGGATTCCTCATAGTCAAAAATGTCCAGGATTAGGTTAGTCGTTCATTTCAACTTATCAATGAGAATAAACGAGTCCATAGCCAAGGCCCTGTGATTGTGTATTGAACTGTCCAAGGTGTACCCCGCTTTACCTGATGCCTGCAGGGGTCAGATACAGCCCCCCAGATGTCCTACAGAACAAATGTCACCCATAGAAAATGAATGAAAACATGATTTGTGTCCAAATCTAGCCTTGTAAACTTCACCACATTCCCTGAGATGACCACTAGATACCAGTAAAAACCCAGCAATGTTGAAAGTAGACACAAGGTAAAGGATATAACCAGCTTTCCAGCATCTGCAGCATCTACTAACAACCAGTGGCACGCACAAGGGGTTACTATGACCACCCTACAAAAAAAAACTTGCCCCTGTAAAGCCTCTAATTTAATTTTTTTCCCCCTTGGCCTTTGATTAACGTGCTGACATCATATATAACAACCAATTTTACTGAAAATTAGCTATAAATCAAACACTCTATTGCAGTGGTGTCCACACATTGTTGGCTTGGGAGCTACTTTTCAATTGACCAGACCACAGTGATCTACCTACATTGATAATATTTAATATATATTTAGCCATATAAGCTGAATATACCATATATATACATTATATGTTGATTAAATAGCTGTAGTTGTATGGCACAAAATTATTCAATAATTATATTGTTGCTAATCTAGTTCTATAGATTTAATATTTTTAAAAATATCTTTATTTTTTACTTTCTATCTACTACTTCTATTTACTGGTAGATCCCAATCTACCTATACGACACCTTTGATTTATTTTTATTTTTTTACTACTTTATTTACTAAATGAACCTAGGCTAAAGAGGAAATGTGTGGGTCGGAATGGAGGAAGTGATTGGCACCTGACCACAGGCTAAAACCAAACCAGGCTAACCACAAACGCGACATAAACTGAGGCGGCGCGATTGGAGCGTCTTCCTCGAACGTAGTTGGAATAATTGAACTTTACAGGTGGCAGCGTGTCGCAAGATCCAATCACCGACGAGTTTACCCCGACGTCACTTCCTTGATGTTACGCGAAAAGTTTGGGAACAATGGAGGAAAGGATTATCGTCGCCGTCTATGGGCTGCTACGTTTTCAAAGTCAACCAGGAGGCGGGGCTCTATGGTAAGTTGTATGACTATATGTGGCTTGTTTAACTACGCTAGTAACTGAGTTTCGCTATGTTTCCAACAATGATAAAGCGGTGTGATACTAGCGTTTCATGGTCCCCGCATCTCCCGCTTAAACCTGGAATTTAGACACTGAGGTAAAAGCCCGCCCACACGGAGAAACCAGCCAATCAGGATAACCAATGCATCGATGTACTGAACGACAGGCACGGTATAACATATAAACACACGGGCCCTCTCTCTGCATTTGGGAGCTGCATTATCATTATCCTGAAACTTCTGGAATTTCCTTGGGACTATCATGTACTGCCTACCAGTAACTAGACATAATTTTATAATCCAGGTTCCAGAATGTTCCATCTGTTTTTGCCTTGATTGATCCAACATCTAGCTAACCTGGTGCAATGGTATATGTGAATTTTATATTTACTATTTTACAATAACAATTATGACTTCTATTCTCTTAGTCGAGTTGTGCTGCACTGTGCAGAGTGGGAGTTCATAATAACCTTGTAACAGCTTTGTTAAAAAATTATATAAAAAATTATAGTTTATTGTTTGTGTAATGCACATTTAGTTGAATGTTCTTGAACTTAACATTGCTGAATTTACCAGGGAAACTCGGCCTCAGCAGTTTCCTAAGTTTTATTTTACTTCCTTGAAGACAAATACATGTAGATTTACTAAACATGTACCTTATCTTGTGCTTTTTGAGGCGTTGAGAGAATGTCTGTGTCTCAGGAGAGCCATTGGAAAATTCTTGTCATTATTCTGAGCACTTCGTCCATCAGTCCTACATCCTCCAATGCAGCACCTTCTATTTCCCTGAGCCTCCTCCTCTTTGTCAGAGTGTTAATGTAGGCCGTGGACAGTGTCACAGAGCAGCAGCAGTGAAACAAAGCGTCCTTCATCTCACTGGCTCAGTATCAAGTGGCTCAGCGCAGCAGCTTTTGTGACTGCTGGGAGTCTGACAGGCCTGTGCAGCCTCAGATAAGTGCATCACATTAATTCACTGCACTTCATTCAAGAGAGCACATCAGCTGTAACCAAGTGGCCTCAAAAAGCCACTAGTGAATGTGTGAGAGTGGGATGAATTTAGGCCATCTGAGTAAAAAAAGAAAAGGCTGTGTCGTGCTGAATGAGTTTTTCTCTCTCATCAGAGTGATTATAATTCTAACCTGTTTTACTTATTGAATGGACAGAAAATAGAAAAGCTAATATTACATACCATTGCTCAGCACATCTGGCAGCTCAGAAGAAAAACATTCATGTTTAGTCAGTTTTTGTTGTTGTTTTTTTTACACTCAGTGGTCACATGGTGGCACTGTGTATCTCTTCAATCCTTAATAAGACTCTTCCCAGGCCAAACTCAGTGTTTCTGCTGTTAGCCATGTTCCCTGTGATTGTTGGCGTCCAAGTTCTAGATTAGTTTTCAGTAATAGGCTTACCAATTAACCTGCATTTGGAATTATTTTCTGTCCGCCAGACTTTTTACACCAGGTGCTTTTCTGGCACAACCTTATCTGGAATTACTAGATACTTGGTAGTATCGAACAGCATTTTGGTGATAGGCCTACCCTTACACCACTCTAGCCCCCATTGTGAACCTGCCTTAGAAAACAGAACTATTCTTTGGCCTTTGTTTATAAAATTTGATTCCTTGGAATAGTTTGGATCAATGCTAAACCATTTTGGCTAACTCTTTAAGGCAGGGGTAGGCAAGCTTTTTGACTTGTAGGCCACAATGGGAACTAAAATTTGACGAGGGGGCTGAGTCAGGAGCAGATAGATGGATTGTTTGTGTGACCTAAGATAAATGACATGTAAAAGTCAAGCATTAGACTAAATTTTGGCCTTTTACACCATCTCTAGGGAAAGTACAGGTATTTGAGGGAAAAAGCAGAAGTATAATGCTAAATTAATAAAAATGTGGAAGTCTGGTGGGCCGGATTAAAATGCCAAACGGGCCGCATCCAGCCCCCAGGCCCTAGTTTGCCCATGCCTGGTTTAAGGCATCTGCTTTTCTTTCATAATGCGTCTGATATTCTGTTACCCTGGAGCACAGTTGGTTTCTCCAAAAGTGTCCAATGTTGTATCATTTCCTTCTCATTTAAAACAGAGCACACTGATAAAAGCACAAGACAGCTGATGTGTGGTTTCTTTTTATATTTCACAGCCAGCTATTTCATCATCAGGAGTCATCGCCCTAAATGTAAAATGTTTATGTACAATACATAAAAATGTGTTAAAACTATTAAAGGTTGAGGACAGAAGCAACAATGTAGCAGGTAGCATTGATTTCTTTGCTAAAGCTGTACAAAGCCAACCCTGGAGGATGGCGTTAAAGTGTAAAGGCAGTAAATAAAATAGAGCTGATGTCAGCTAACTTGTCCCAGTCCTTTTTGTCTTTGCTCGTTTACAATTTGTTCACAGACTTTCATTTTAGGCTGAGAAATGTCCACTTGACGTGATGGTCTTCTCTGTCTCCGGGTATGTCTTCAGCCTGACGCTGCATTTAGGACCATTGTGCCTCCCTCTCCTGATAAGTTTCACTTTGTTTACGGCTATTGGCCCGTCTTCTTCTCTTTCTGGAAACTGAAGCTGGTCCGGCGGCTCAGTTTCCGCTGCTTTTGAGCAAAGTAATCAGCTCGAGAGGTGCTGGCTCGAGATTCAAGGATATAATTCACCTAAAAATTAAAAAGAGTAAAGTCAGGAGTAAAAAAAATGTCAATCTTTGATTCTTGTTAAACAAAGTACATCTTTCTTTCCATTTGTTTTCACCCAGAGGGGTACAGAAAATATATTAGAAAGTCTTCATATTTAATTAAATATTTTACAAAACTGGTGGAGTGGGGTGTGGCCATAACAACCCCAACTAAAAAGACACAGGATGTTACGTAGGACACTTACCTTAAGCACAATTTCATTGACAGTTGCAGCATCAGACTCGAAGTAGAGAGGCTTGTAATCGTGGTTGCTCAGATAAGTGAGCTTAAATATTGCATGATCTGTAAGACAGAGGAGAAACGTGTTCAGTGGGACGGCACTCAGTAACACATTAGACCAATCAGCTGAGGTGAGCACATCTCTGGCCTGAAGTGTCTTAGTGTGAGAACCTGAAGGAAACACCAGAGTGGATTGAACTTGACTGACTGCGGCAGCAGCCAATGACCTTTCTGTGCTGTGGTTCTAAACCACACATGGATTGTATCTAAAGACTGAATAAAAAAAATGCTCTGGGAATCCTGATGTTCTTACAGATTAAACATCCTAGTTTTTGATTTTTTATTTTAATGTTGAAATAAAATTATCCTCCATAAAAAAAAAAATCCATAACAGGGAAAATGGAAGAATGTATGTCTATATATGTAGGTGTGTAAATATACACACATTTGGTTTGTGAACTTAGGCCTTCCATATAAAATTGACTTTATTTGACTTGACGTTTAATCACTACACAACCAGATAAAGTATGACTGTCAGACTGTGACCCGTAACCAATGAATTGAGAAAACAGCAGTCTCTGTGAAAGACTCACTTGGGCTCCTTTCCTCGACAAGGTCACAAGCACAGAGGTGGTCAGAGTCAATGGAGATGGGCTTTTGCCTAATCCAGAACTTGGTACTGGTCTTCTGGTTGGTAACTGGGTCAATCTCCAACTTCTCCCCTGAAATACCTGGAGAAGAGGTTTAAAAAAAAAACAGTTGTATGAAGTAATGAATGAAGTATGGGTAGATGTGGGAGGAGACAGCTTTTCTAGTTAACCTGATAACCATCACTAGTTACACATATTTGGAATCCAAGAACATCAGTGCCAGGAGAACGGTTTAATGTTTGTGTATGAAGCATTCAGTCAGAGGTTCGTACCCAGCTGGACATCAGTAGTGAAGCGAAGCTTGTGGATCATGCTGATCTTGAAGGACTTATAGTGGTGACTGCTCAACATGTCCTGGACTGTGGTGATGTCAATGGGAGGGTCTTCCTCTGAACTTTCCTCCCCTCTGGAGCCTAAAACAAGGAACAATTGTGGCATCTGTGTTGCATGAAGATCTTTAAACTGATAAAGAAAGCACTGGTTGTTACTGCAGTTACAGAAGCGTCCATAACCTGTCAACAATAACCCAATGTGGAGCAGAGCTCAGCACTTGTTGGACTTATAGTGGCCCTTCTGTCTGTGGTACTGTAAACTTCTGAACGTCTCTTTGTTGTTCTTCGACACTGTAATACGTACTGTTTTCTCTGACCAGGCAAAACTCTAGGGTACTCTGACTCTCCAGGGTCAAGTCCAGGTCCACAGCCACGTTTGGTTCTGTCTGCTTCTCCAGACGATACATGGGCCCTGTAGAAGAATTAGGATCCATAGACTCAGCTTCAAAGTTACATTTGTTGTTGTGCAAGGCTGCTAAAGCATTAAAATTATTTTGTTGATATGCATATTTTTGTGAAAGAATTCACATCTATGGCAACATGTTCAAATCAAAGGTCACGGCCTGGACAGAACTTTTTTCAGCATTTTCAGCAGACAGTGAGTGGTTAAAAGGACTGTTATTGACTTAAAATAAAAATCTCTTTTCATTGACCACAAACCACAACTCCTGTATTTTAAACAGGAAACTCTCAAAGTGGCAGCGTCCTGCCACTAGATGGCAGTATTACGACACTGCAGTTCAATATAAAACAGAATTTCCCAAACTCAAAGTATCAAACAAATTCGGCACAGACTAAGACAAATATTATTGTTGGTCTGAATTATTGGAAATAAGATTTATTTTGTGTAGCAAAGCTAAATTACTGTAGGGGCATAAAAGTCAGGTCGTTATATTCACATCAACAGGAAACACAGGGAATTACCAGAGCCTTTCTGTGAGCCTTTTCTCTTCTTGAGTGCTTTCTGTAGAATTTCCTTCATGGTAACTTTCCGACTGTCCACAGGGATCAGAGAAAAACCATGAGCAGCATTTCTAAGGAAAACATGGAAAGAAAGAGAAACAGGATGGTTATTTGTTAGGGGAAATGATTTCAAGTTAAATAATTTTTTTTTTTTTATTGCTTTGCAGGGAAAAGTGATTACACGCTTTATCAAGGGGGGGTTACTATTACCTGATGATGATTAAACCATCAGTTTTGACAGTGTAGACCAGACCAACTGACTGATTTAATGGACGTAAGAATGTATTATGGCCATTCGTTAACAAGGAAGATGCATTATTTAGTCCATCATAATAATATTGAGTACATTTCCCAGTACACACAAAAACACCAGCAGCAAACTAGTGACAATTCAATCAATTATTTCTATTTAGGATTGGCCTGTCAAGCTATAGTACTAGTGCAGCACCCCTAGGTTCTAACCCTGTAGCCACAACCGCTGACACCCGTTATAAATACTCACATCCGGACAAACAGTGACTGTCTGGAAGTGAGGCCAGGTGACGAGTATTTCTCCACCAAGGCCAGAGTGCTGAATCCAAACTTGTGTATGGGCTCATTGGAGTCGAGAGGAGGGAAGTCAGTGTCTACCTCACCATCATCCTCGGCAATGTGAAGACAGTAGGCGTTTACATTCTCACTGAGGACACAACAAGATGCAGTCAAAGAGTCAAAGACGGTGACATTAGCTCCAATTGTCAAACACCTTTGTCCAAAAAACTCACTTCAGTTTGGGTTCTCGTCCCTCACTTGTATACTGCCAACATATGAGACCAATAAGATCATGGACACGGGCGTTGGCAATAGTCACTACTGTCATCGGATGAACTTTCTCCTGAGCTATCTGCATTGAGAGGTAGACATCGATTTTTTTTGTTGCCGTTGTGCCGATGTGACCCTGAAAGAAGGGAGGAGAGAAAAAGCTGAAACTACAACTGTAGCATTTTTTTTGGACAGTGATGAATTCTTTGGTTAAAGAATATTTGAGAGCGAGAGAGACGAAGAGAGGCAGGCAGAATTACACAAACTGGGTCTATAAACATTCAACGTTCCACTAATTGGTGCTAATATATAATCAATACAGTATGATGTTTATTCACGCTGAAAGAAAAACATTGCTTCACTGAAGAACTTTGAGTTTAAATGTTGATTTATCTCAATGATTAATCGTGAATAGTTTAAAATAGAATAGTACAATTAAGTAAATCATGATTAAGCTATGTTTAGAACCACCGCTGCTTATGAGCTGAAAAAAGACAGATAAAAAAATATAAAGGTTGAATCATATACTTTGCCATCAAACTTGGAGTATTCGTTAAAAGGGTTGTTCAATTGTTGGGGACACTGCTCCAGCCGCAATGAGAGAGTGGATTTAGTCCCTGTCGTTCGTGGTCGGTCTTTAAAATCTCGCTTTTCAAACAGTGATCCCAGATCCTCCGCTAGGAACACAGCATAGTTAAACAAATAATATTTCCACTGACAACAGTGCAAACATTTGCCTTAGAGTAAGTAAAACCATTACCTGATTGAGAAGATGATCTCTCTTTCCACTGAATGTTTTTACATTTGATTTGGTTCTGCCTCTCTTTCCTGAGCCTTTCAAGCCTTTGGGCTGAAAAGAAATGCATTACATTTCAGTTAATGGTGAATCCTTTTCGATACCTACTGGCAAAAACAAATTAATTAGATTAATTAAAGCTTTTTCAAGGAGATACTGAGCTGCATTTCCTCATCCACTCAAAATAAACTTTACTCAGCTTAGAGTAAAAACCAAAAGTTGTCACATCTGCCGAGGCATGTTTTGAGTGACATGACCTACTGTACTGAAATTTAAAAAAACACATCACTTACACATTTTTACATACACACCCACACACACAGACTCGCACAGAATAACTTTGATTCCTTAAAGATTTTGTTTATCCCCCTCTTCTTACCAGCAGCCCCTGGTTTCTCGCGACTGTCTCGCTGGATTCCTGATGGAACAGTCACGAAAAGTCAGTCTGTAGTATTTTTTTTTTTTTTGCATGGATTGTTTCGTTTGTGCCCCAGCACTGATCTTTGACCAACACGCCACCAAACTAAGTCAAGTCAAGGGAGCCAAAAGGAAGGAAGACGTTTGCCTTTGGACTCCCCTTCATCACCAAACACCAAAACGTCCATCAAACTATAACACCTGATCACACACATTTAAACTTTCCAACTCAAACTCATACGACATTCTGGTTAGACACTGTGTAATGCATTCATACTTTTTTAATATTCTGATGCAGGTTAGTTTGCTAAAACCTAACAATGGCATCCATACCCTGAAAACATCTTAAATAACTTTGTAATGACTGAAATGAATTTATTTTGTACTAATATTAAAAGGGTCTTACTCTGTTTTACAATTGTATTAAACTTTAAGAAAAAAGGCCCAAGAGCAAAGTAAAAAAACAAACAAAACAAAAACTGTGAATTGTGACAATAACTTGTCATTTGTTAACATATCGGCTTTGGTTCCATTTTGGCAGCTGTGTTGATTTTGTTCTTTTTCTTTGCATTATAGCTGGATTTCTGCTGAATATCAGGTCTCTTAAAAAATGTATGCATTCTTAATCCCAAACCGTAAAAAATTAAAGGTCCCCAAAAGATCATATAGCAAGCAAGTGTGAGTATCTGTATCTTTCTTTTTCTTTAACACATTGGCATCAATTAAACAGCAATGGTAACACGTGGCATGGTTAGTTCAAAGGTATGCTAGGATACTATAGGATTAAAGGTCTAGTGTGTAACAATTAGTGAATTCTAACTTTTGAGACTAAAAACATAATGACTTCTAATCTTTTTGTCTGTCTCTTTGCTAAAATGAATCAGGTTTGATTGAACAATAAGCTGTGAACAAAAGAATTCCTAATCTAACATCTAAGCATAGTCATAACACACTTTGCTTTGTCAATTTCAGCTCCTTTAAACCACAATAACTCAAGATGGTGCCTTAGCCCAACAAGTTGAGGATTAATACTGAGGATTAATGCTTTAGCTATTAAAAAAAACAAACAACAGTTCCGGTATAATTTGGACACTATGATCTGACTGTAACATGTTACACACCAAACCTTTATACGTGATTTACAATTATTAAGATTAACATAATGATTTGCAACTTTACACCATACCTCTCACCTGTGCAATGACAGCCAATTCAATTTGACTCAAGACTGACTGAACCACTAGTTCTGATTAGACCAACAAACCCCATCAAGCATGAGTAGAGCAGGTGCTGCTAACTAACCCATAGTGTTAGGATAGGCCAGTTTACCTGTGTTGGATCGGCGACGGATACCAAAGTCCCAACTGGAGGTAATGTCCATGGACTGGGAAAGGTCACAAGCATGATTATCCTTCACACTGCTGCCTTCTTCATTCAGGGATCCAGACCCAGTTGACCCACAGCTGCTGCCTGGCACCAGAGCCAGCTGGCACTTTTCCAGGTCCACATCCTGGTCTATTAAAACCATCTCACACATTCCTGTGTCATCACTGGTCACATGAGACTGTCTAATGTGGGCCAGAATAATACCTGGATTGTCCAAGAAAGCCATTCCCTTTACGTTTTTAAGTTTGGCTTATAGACCTGGCTCTATATGTGTCACCTGTGTAGCAGAGGAACACTTTCACTTCATTTCAGTCTCTTTCTCTCTCTATAACGTTTAAACAAGCGGCTGATGACAAGGGAGTTGTCATCATTTCCATATTTCTCTCTTGATTATTCTCTCTGCAGTGAGGTAGGACGGCTGTCAGTGCCTGGTTTAAAAGAGATAAGAAACAATAAGAAACAATTCTGTGTAATAAATACTATAATGAGTCCTACCAATAGCCATTATTAGGTTGAATGAATGTAAATGAATGGTTCCTCAAGTAGTAGCTGGTGTTACCATTGGTGGGTACTGATTTTAAAGTGTACGCAAACGACACTGTAAACATAAGTTATATTTACAGTATGCAAAGAGGGCTGTTGATCTTTTCAACAGAGAGATGAGAGCCCTAAACACAACGACCAGCCACTCAACAGATAACTAAGTCAGCATGGTTAATGGAAGCTGCAAGCAAATATTTTTACCTAATTCATTGCCACAAAAAGTCTTGACTGACAGCTTGATAGAGTGACCGTATCTTTGGTTCCTGGTGTGCATGTCATTCTAATCAACATTTATAGAAAAGTTCATGTCTGGCAGCTCAGCCTTCACTGCTTCCGCAAACAGCTAACGCTATGTTTCAGTGATGACAAGAATACTTTGTGCCTCGTAGCAAAACGTAACACGTTGGCAGTAACGACAGAAGAGGGACGCGGCTTGGTGTTGACAAAGAAGCTAACGACGCCGTCAAGAAAGAAAACAAGTGAACTCCTGTTTATTCCCAAGAGCTAGCACCACAGGTTAGCTCTAGTAGCCTTTGTGTTTCTATTGCTGATAAAGTGGAAAAAATTAAAACCCAGTTTTAATCTAATTCACCGTTTAAATGATATAACAAAATCTGTGTTAATCAAAACTTTTATATCCACGTTCCTGTTCAAACTACGATGGTTATTTAAGTAAGCTAGTTGGATTTAACATAAAGTGACGCTATATGTGGTTAGCAAGCTACAGTTGGGTTGTGCAAGACAAGACATTTTCAATGCAGAACGGCATCCCACCTTTATAGGCTCCATTCAAGAAAGGTGTCCACAATGTTCCACTTTACCCAAACACTGTCATGACCTCGACTTTAGTAGTAAGCTTAGGAGCAGGATCATCTGTGTTTAGCTTGGCACTGGTTCAAGCTCTTCTTCTTTGCGTTCTGTGGGAGATAGCAAACAGCGTTGTAGTGTAGTACTGCCACCCCGTGGTGCCGTGCAGTACCTACGCCTACATATACATTTTGGCTTTTTGATACCTCACTCACGCAGCGTTGTATTAATGACAGATGTCTGTGTAACATCCAATATCCTACGTGTTTTATCTTTTTAATTTACAGCAGTGCGGTGTTTGAATTACTAAATTATTTTAACTAGCTAAATCCAAAGTTTTTTAGTATCCATTCCATACCATGGTACTTTATAGTTGGATAACTTTGTCAAGACCAGGTTAGGATTGATTTTAAACTTAATCCACTAAAGCTATGGCATTACTTAAGACAAAACCTAATCTGTATAGTAATAAATCAGGAGAGTTAAAAAAAATGTTTTTCATATGCTGCATTACCTTGAAAGTTCTGCTTTGTGGTAATTCCCTTGGTGATCAGAAATGGCTAGGAATGGAGGTAATTTATGTAATTGATTCCAGTATTTAACATAAGTTTCTCTGGAGAGGTATTCTTCACAGTTTCGGATTAGTTCATTAGCTATATGTAATAAAATTAGTAACCAGGGCTTAATAACACAAAAAACCAAAACATCAATGTAGGTGAGAAACACTTTATTAATCATTGACAGAATATCCATATGCCCCATTTTCAAAAGGTGCCAAGAACAGAGTCTAGAATTCAGGTTTAGACAATTATATAAAAACAGTTTAACATATAATTGTTTTTTAATGATGGTTATCTGTAAATCTGTAGATGCATGTCATTAATTAAAAAAGATTGTCATCAAAGTCAAAGCACACCATGTCATGAACATTAAACAAAAGGGAAATGACTGATGATATATAGTAAACAATTTGAATAACTGGAATGACTGTTGGATGTATGGGAACTGATGATGTGAGGAAACTAGTTTCCCCCTCTCAGACGGAGAACAAGATGGAGGGTGGACTCCTTCTGGATGTTGTAGTCAGAAAGGGTGCGGCCATCTTCCAACTGTTTACCAGCAAAGATCAGACGCTGCTGGTCTGGGGGGATACCTTCTTTATCCTGGATCTTGGCCTTGACATTTTCAATGGTATCACTGGGCTCCACTTCCAGAGTGATGGTCTTGCCAGTCAGGGTCTTCACAAAGATTTGCATTTCTCCTCGCCGACGGAGAACAAGATGGAGGGTGGAGTCCTTCTGGATGTTGTAGTCAGAAAGGGTGCGTCCATCTTCAAGTTGCTTACCAGCAAAGATCAGACGCCGCTGGTCTGGGGGGATACCTTCCTTATCCTCGATCTTGGCCTTGACATTTTCAATGGTATCACGGGGCTCCACTTCCAGAGTGATGGCCTTGCCAGTCAGGGTCTTCACAAAGCGTGGCATCCCCCCCCTCAGACGGAGAACAAGATGGAGGGGGGATTCCTTCTGGATGTTGTAGTCAGAAAGGGTGCGGCCATCTTCAAGTTGCTTCCCAGCAAAGATCAGACGCTGCTGATCTGGGGGGATACCTTCTTTATCCTGGTTCTTGGCCTTGACATTTTCAATGGTATCACCGGGCTCCACTTCCAGAGTGATGGTCTTGCCAGTCGGGTTCTTCACAAAGATTTGCATCCCTCCTCTCAGACGGAGAACAAGATGGAGGGGGGATTCCTTCTGGATGTTGTAGTCAGAAAGGGTGCGTCCATCTTCAAGTTGCTTACCAGCAAAGATCAGACGCTGCTGATCTGGGGGGATACCTTCTTTTTCCTGGATCTTGGCCTTGACATTTTCAATGGTATCACGGGGCTCCACTTCCAGAGTGATGGCCTTGCCAGTCAGGGTCTTCACAAAGATTTGCATCTTGACACTGGTGAAAATAGATAGTGAAAAAATTATGGAGGAAGAATTAAAATGCACCTTAACTACTTTCTTCCAACAATACAAAAATAAAATAAACTACAATGCATTCCCAAGTTCTGATGTTATTGATGTTACCTATTCTAAAAGGGGGCTTCCACAGAATGACCTCAACTTTCACTTTCAGTCGTTTAACTACTCTGCGAATATGTACGGAACAATAATTACAATGTCGATAATGTATTAAACAACCATTGAGTGTTACATTTAAACACCGCCGTTTTGCTATGATAAGTAGTTTTAAGGAAACGGTTAAATGTGTTAATTTTTAGCTGCTCATATAAACTGCGCAGTAGTACTGATACCATTTTCTAGACTCTCCGACAAAGACCAGTATGCTAAAATTCAACCGTTGCTAACTAATCGTGTTTTCTAACTGCCCAACTCAATAGGACACTAACCCTTCGCTAATATAACCTTTACATTTATGCCTGTTGAAATTATCGAGTATATGAAAGAATAATTGCCTTAGATATATACTATAAAACGTTTGAAGCGCTGATTTAACGTTGACCTCGGGCCTAACAGCGTTAGCAAATAAAACGTCTGACGAACAGACCATTTAGTTAAAATTTTAACCAATTTACTATTTGTTTAAAATAACAATGTAGATTATATATGTACAGTGGGTTGTAGAGTTTCACATTTAATTGAATTACTTACATGGTAAACGTCTCTTATTTGCTCTCGGAGAACACGTAGTCACTAAAAGTCTGCTGTCTTCTTCTGCTTTAGTATCTTCTCTAGTGCTGTGGATTAGTAGTTTGGAACGAAGTAGAACGAGCGACACGTATTGGTCAAAAGGTGGTACTGAGCATTCACTTTCAGTTAAAGTCTATGTACGCGAGATTACAGAAAGTTTGATTTCCAAATTTAAAGAAAAAAATTATTACCACGAGAGAGTCATCAAAGTTAACAAGTTCAAAGTCCAAAACATGTTTACACAGGTTGTCTGTTGTGTGCCTTAGGTGTGCAATAATGCCTATTTTCCGCAGAGACCATGGACGGATGGATGATAGTGATGCAACTGGAGAATGCCAACTACCATGCAGACTAAGATGTATAGACTGTCCTTGTTGTTGAGACGCTGTATGAGGTGACAAGACCAAACAATTATGCGTAAAAAATATGGCAGTATTGTGACAAAAATATGACAACTTCTTTTGGAATTCAACTTTTTACAGCATAGATGTGACTGGACTGAAACATGATTATTAGTCACTGTATGCTTGAACTACTGTGTTTTTTTATTATTTTTATTTTACTTTGCTAAATACACTGAGTAAAATTTAAATAGTTTTAGTTTTTCTGGGGTAACCATCTACAAGTGTGAACTAGTGGAGGATACAAACATACTTTTGAACTGATGTAAACTATCTCTTTTAATATTAAACACCAAATAATAATAATAACAATAATAATAATAATAATGTTTTAATTACTTTATATCACCATTTGGGGCAGTGGTGGCTTAGTGATTAGGGGAGCAGACTAGGGTCCAGAAGGTTGCTGGTTTGAGACCATTAGGTGCCAAGTTGACACTGAGGTGCACTAAGCATGTACCATCCCCAGGTGCTTGATCTGCCCCCTGTTCACTATGGTGTTGGGTTAAACAGAGAGGTCACACTTCGTGGTGTGCAATGGTATGCTGTGTCACAAAGACATTCTTTTATTCATTAATTCTTGATTAATGCATTAAAACAGAAAAGACAGAAAGCGTTTCAAAGCTTTATTGCTCATTTTTCAGGCCAAGGACCCACAAAGTGATGATGGTGCATGATCACCTACTGTATGAAATTTTATTTTGTAATAAACTGGGTCTAGTACCGTGCTTGAACAAATTTGATGAAATACTTGGCTTTTGAAATAGTTAACATGTTCATCTACCGACTATTAACATGTTGATCTACCTATGTTGGTGTTTGAGTGCCAGTGCTAGTGTAAACAGTATACTGCTATTTCTAAAGATACTAAGTCAACTGATACCAATATCAGCACAGTCTGATAGATCATTATTGCCACTGCTGTGCATGTTAATATGCATATAATACTATGTCGTGTGGAAAATGGACCCCACCTTATTGTCCAATGTATTATCTAATGTCATTTTATTTTATTTATGTCAACTACATTGCATTTTTTGTAGTGACTGCTTGTTTGTAAGCAGTAAAATTTCCTTTTGTTTTATTTGTTTTTGTCTTGACCTGAATTTTGACAGCCCTTCACCTACTGTATTTAAATAGTTGGTAGAAAGAAAAACATGTCCAAGAGTCATTTTATTATGCAGGGATATATCAAATAAATACACTACATTATAGCTATGGGTTCTCTTTATAATTTAAATGTCTCTTGTATGCATATCTGCATAGTTAGAACAGTGGTAAAACTTAGGGTATAAAAAAGAATATTGTTCAACATTAGGATAATACATTATATCACGTAATCGATAGAAAACATGGGTCAAGTGAGCACCACCTGCAATCCACTTGTGCGCGTCCACACTGTAAACGTCAGCTCTGTGTCTCTGTTAATAAAGTGCCTATTAGTGAGGGAGGGGGATTTCTGTGGTTGATCATCACACTCCTGCTGCCGCCCGTCCCTGTCTCACAAATCCACTGCAACACTTGCTAACGGGCTGCAGGGGCATTATGCAAACACCCGGCCATCAGCTCACGTTTCAAAATGATTTGTTGATCGTAGTTGTCAAGAAGATGTTCCAGAGGATCTGAAAGGCAGGAACAAACCACAACACTTGAAACAAAACAAACGAAGAGTGAAGCGATCACAACGCTGGGTAAGTGAACGAAACAGACATTTAGCATGCTAGGTAGCTTTGCCACAGACTGAGGATTTAACTCTTCGTTCGTCGGTTTGTTTTGGATAATCGTAAACCTTTAATAACACGCGCATATACTATATGTCATGGGGGTACGTGGTCTATAACGTTTGTTAATGTATTGGTCAGCAACGGTCCAGAAAAGTGTGACAACCGTAGCCAGTCTCAGCTGTTGTTTGCTGCTAGCCTTTTAGCTTTGTCGTTAGTAGGTGGTGTTCGTGGTGCAGCCGAGAACCGACTACTTTAAGTGTAAATGCTGAGAAAAAAGGCGACGAAAGACACTTTACTACAAAAATACAACGTGATGTGTGTGTATCAATTACCTAGACTACACCTGGTTCGTAAATTCAGTGCTGTCGATGTTGCCCGTTATTAAGCTAAAATAAACCAATGTTAAATGAACCCAATTTAGAAATGTTTACAATTTAACTTGAGATACCTTAACTGTAAAAAGGCCGTATTTAGGTGTGGTGATAAATCCAGAGAACGACACCAACACTGTATTAAGTGTTTTCACACATAAATCCAACGGTTTACGTTTTAAGGATGATTTAAAACCCATTAGCCAAGACCCCCAGAATAACGGTGCCTAATAATGGCACCGATCTGGTGTATGTAACAGTAGATTTGTCCCGAGGTGTTTCAACAACCGGTGTTCTCATTCACCAATCATTTGTCATTATGTCACAGGTGTATGGTGTCAAATGCAGCCCGAGATCTAAGTATTAGTTAAGTATTAACCGTGAATGAAAAGAATGAAAGAAGCAAAGTGGACTGGCTTTGGTTTCCTGATGACCCACATTTTGACCCGCATTGTGATGACCTCCTTTGTTTATTATAATGACATTCTTTTAAGGTATTCCTTAGAAGCTGTACACCAGGGCTTTTTCACCAGTCAGTTTGAACTGAAAATCCTCTCAGATGAGCATTGTTTGTCTTCAAGACTTATAAACTTCTTGGGATTAAATGACCAGGATGATAGAAAATCGTTAAAATAAAATAGCAGAAATATATCCCTAACCCTACTGATCCTTCTTACAGTATGATACAAGGCTGAAAGAATACTATCCCTCCGTAGTATTACTACAGCATTCAGCTTCAGAATGAGATAGAGATGTGATGTGGAATGCGTGTAAGATACACATCAATAGACAGGATTTTGCCTGTCATGCAGTCACTGGCTGATCCACCAACGTCAGCCCACAAAAGACGTGGAACTTTGAGAATTGTATCAGGGAGGTCATCCAGTATGAAAACTAGCTCAAAATGATCACGCAGACTAAGGCTATGGAAGTCTTTGGCTTCTGATGAAGGTACAAATACAAACATCACCACCTATAACTCATGGTCTTTCTGCATGGGCTTTACGTGACCTCTGGAGATGACTTCCTCCCACAGTCCAAACATGCAGATGAAACATTCTAAAATGCAAACAGGGGTTATTGTTGTGTCTTTCTTCGTATGTGGCCTAGCATGGATTGTTAACTACTAATAAATTCTTCTTTGATCCTTTGAAACTTGGAAAAAGAGGCCTTTACACTCAAGGAGACGTAATTACCAACAAAATTAGAAAACACCAGACATTTAACTCCACCAGACTGTCAACAATTCCTATTTCTCAGGTTCCTTTTTGTTGCTGTGACAATAATGTAATGAAAGTGACTGACAGCCAGAGAATGACTTTACATTCATGTTTTGCCAAGTTAACGGTAACACTCTTCTGAATCCCATCTCGCTTAATACAACAGTTACACCTTAGCAGTGTTGAGTGCTATGACAATTTAATAAGAATGTCCAAACTACCTAGAACATATTGCAACACATCAATATAACAACATTTACTGCCATATTAGGAAAAAGTTTATATATGTCAGTTGGATATTATTTCAGAGAATCTGCTCTAGTCACATAATGAATGTGGAATAACTGAGTTAAGTTGAATTATTTTTGTTTTAAAATGCAGTAATAACAAACCTGGGTAAAAACTGCATGATGCTGTTGCACTGCACAAGTGGAGTTTCAAAAGTCATTTGGACTGGTTTTAGAAGTGACATGAAGGATTAGAACTCAGATGGTGTTGCTAGGCATCCTGAGATTCTGATACACTGAAACATTCCTACAGAAAAGTGGTTCCCAAAGTCAGCGGCAGTGCCCCCAGAACACAGGTGCACAGAACTATTGTGAGGGTGGGTCGCTGATCCCCCTTTTTCTGCCATAATAATTGTAATGATAAGTAATTTTATTTTAGAATCTCAGTGTTGCAGGAATTAAGAACCTTTCTTGAATTTATTTATTTTTTTGGGTCCAAGAATGGTAGCCTCGTGTCAATAATAGTAGTTTTTTGAGGTCAGATTCCACACTCTTTGCTTTCTTTAGCCAGTGACAGACATCAGCTTTGATACAGTTAACTTTACATGCAGCGTTTTCTTTTACTGTTTCACTTCTTTTGGACTGGAGTAACTCAGTCAAGGAGATGCCATTCTGGAGGCCTCAGTTGTCTAAGCAACAGTTATTAGTCTTGAGTCCATTGATTCCAGTTCTGGTGGATCATCTCAGTATGCAGTTGAGCAAATCTTTTTCTTGCACATTGTCAAAAGAGGTAAACCTCTTTTGACATGTCTCATCAAAGAGACATTTTGATTGAATAGACACTCTGGAATTTTCTTTTCTCCAACCTCTGTAAGCAATGTGTAATGGGTAAATACCGTATATACAACCAGCTGTTTTCCTGATGCAGTCCAGGGTCTCCTGCGCTCAGCAGTTTGGAGGAATTCTAACATCAGGACAGGACTTATTATTAATTTCAGATGTGTTTTTAATGTACCCTAGCTCTGAATACATTCATGTCACAGTAGATAGATGAGGAGTGGCCTCATCTCCAGCTAGGTCCAGCGCTATGGTTTCACCACGGATGCATATCGTCACTTAACTCTTCCTGTTTAGGGTTGTTAGGCTATAAACTTTACCACTGGACAGTGGTAAAGTGCTAAGTCTATGTAGCCCAGTGTTTTTATTCTATTTTGTGGAAATAAAGCCTCCCCATGCACAAGCCAAATAAAAAAGAAAGAAAGTCTTTCAGGGATTATCTCATTAGGACTTTTGGAGACAATGCTATTTTCTCTAGCGTAATGGATTAAATGGCTCAAAAATAGTTCTTTAATTCAATTAATGAATTTATTTTAATAATGCTTGTGTTCCAGAAGTCTAAGTCGACGTCAAATATGCCTGAGGTTCGGGAGCTTTCCGAAGCTTTGCCAGACATGCCGATGGATCCAATCACGGGGGTTGGAGTGGTTGCCTCTAGGAACAGGGCGCCAACTGGATACGATGTGGTGAGTGAAGTCTGTGGACATTATTAGGCATGATATCTAGCCATTTGTATTGTATTACAGTTAAATACTGGTGCTACAGAAGGCAGGGGCTTTTTAATGATTAACTGTGAACTGGTGAGGATTTAAAGAAAACTTTATGGACTGTAATTGGTGTTTGAGTTATCGTGAACCAGTTCAAGGGTAAATATAAGCTTTTTCTTCATATGATTTGACATGGCGCATGGCATAAGAACACATTTGTTTGCATAATACCTGGTCAGACAATTACGCCCATTGGAGTCTCTTTTCACTTCACTGGACGAGTCAATGCACTGTGCCACATAGAAAATGGGTGAGGTAATGAGAAACATGGAAAGGAGGGAAGAAGCACCTCCCTCTCTCTTTTTTTTTTTTTTTTTTTTTTTTGTAGTTACATACTTTGCCTCTAATTTGAGTCTTGTTCGATGTAAATGAGAAAACAATCCTTTTGTTATCGCAGTTTGTTGATCGTTACCTCACCTGCTGTCTTTCAGGTCTCTACAACAACAGATGGATTCTTTTGTTATCGCAGATTGTTGATTGTTGATCGTTCTTTCAGGTCTCTACAACAACAGATGGCTTAGATGCTGACCTTTGGAAGGACGGCCTTTTTAAATCAAAGGTGACCCGTTACCTCTGTTTTACCAGGGTCTTCTCAAAGGAAAATGTAAGTAAATCAAATTCAGCCATAAGAAAAATGTCCAAAATCAGTCATTTGATTCAATTCAATAACCACCTTAAGAAGAGTTCATCTTTAATGTTCTTTTTTTTTTCTCTCCAGAGCCATTTAGGCAACGTGCTTGTGGACATGAAACTGATAGACATAAAAGATACACTGCCTGTAGGTTTCATTCCAATCCAGGAGACAGTTGACACCCGTAAGTGAATTCATGCTGATACCAATGATGTCAAAGCCATTGAGTCTCTTACATGTTGTGAATAAATCTCTCTACATTGTACTTCTTGTCTTCTGTAGAAGAGCAGGCCTTCAGGAAGAGGCGACTTTGCATTAAATTTATTCCGAGAGACTCCACAGAAGCGGCAATTTGTGATATCCGCATCCTGGGGCGCTCCAAGCAGGCTCCGCCTCAGTACACGTTTATTGGGTGAGTTATCGTGAAAAATCATCTTTAGTGGTAAATCTGACAGGTTTAAGTACAGTTCTATGTTGTACTAGAACTCAGATTTGTTTTTCTTTTTGACAGGGAGCTTAACAACATGGGAATTTGGTATCGGATGGGGAACGTTCCTCGTACTCAGGATTCAACACATGTGCTAACCACCAACAACGTCCAGAATGTGAATTCTTCTTCAAGCTCAACCCCAGCTGCTCCTCTGCCCAAGTATGTTTAAGTTCATTTTACAAATATTTTTAGGTTTTCTTGCTCACCTTGCATGAAAACAGCTTAAAAAGTAAAGTGATTTTTCTGTGATTTTTCTCTGTCACCTGTAAATATGAGTTTTAATTTATAACGTGATTTTTCTGTGATTTTTTGATTTTGTCACCTGTAAATATGAGTTTTAATTTGCCATATCTTGTGTGTATAAACTGGATACTGAGCATCCCTTGGGAAAAACTGCTCACTAATAATATAAAAATCCACATCATTAAGCCACAAGACCTGACCTTTTCCAGCCACTTACACACACAGACTCTCACATGGACTTTGTCATTTGGAGAGTGACACTTGTTTCCCTACTTTTTGTAGTATACCATTAGTCAGTGTGGCAATTATGCCTGTACTCTGCTTCCATTTGTTTTAAATAAAATAGTTTGTCAGTGACCGGTATTTAAATATTGACACACATTGACATGTGGTGACACAAGTGGAGGTTTAAGGTTCCCACTGTCTTTACAGACCTCTTTATTCAATGTTAGTGTCATGTTGTGTCCAGTAGCTTGAAGTTGAATATATTAAAACTGAAGTGTTAACACAGACAGGACAGAGCTGGTTCTCCTCCTGCGGTCCATTCATTCCTCCTGCTCTGTCTACATGCATAATTAATACTAACAGTGTGGCTTTTATTGCAGAGCACAGTGGACAGCATTCATGAGATTTAACTGAGGTTTTAAATGTGTTTGTTCTTTTGTTCATAGACATATTTCCATGACGCTGCCTGCCAGTTTCAGAGGGAAGAACAGTACCAGACCGGACTACGAGCACCAGAACTCCAACCTGTACGCTATCTCAGGTCAGCAACCAGGACGTTTGTCTTGTATCCAACTTATACAGTAACTCAAACAGACTGATGACATCAGTGATAAAATATTTCCCAGAAGTACATCCCGAATGATGCCGCAAAGACCATTGTTGTTCTGAATAAAATAAAAATAATTAATTTTAAAGTCACATTTTGCCAGTATTGGAGTTGGTTTAAACAAAAGTATCATGTGCACACAGTAATTATGGTTTTTAATTTACCACACAAGTTTATTTAAGGATGACAGTTTAAATATTTTAGCTAAATTGCTGAACTGTCAATACAAAT